CTCTGGTTTCAATCTTTAAAGAATGCTCAGGAAGATATTGAGTTTGGAGAAGGTTTTGAATTGTTCTTGTGCTAGTTACTCATTTTCGCAAATGCTTATCTTGAAAGAAAATCTTCAGATTAGATTAATACTAGATTAAGCTAACGAATAGATTTTTAGACATGTAAGGTACCCATTGGTGCTAAAGAACGATGCACTTGCAAGACTGGTTTCGCGAGAATTGGCGATCCGAATAGTGCATCGAAATTGGATCGAGGTTTTTGCATCGGAATCGATAGTTGTCCAAAATCAGGTATGGGGGTTTTTAAGTTTAAAAAGCCGTAGAGCTCTACTCTATAGAGTTTCATTATTTGACAATTACAGTACAATTTGCAGAGCCTAAATGCTTGGAAAATGAGGAAATGAAGAAGGCGGAATGTGATGATTGTGCAACGAGAAAAGGGGAACTGAGTGTACGTTTGAGGAAGTTAAAAACTGTGAACTAAACTTGTTCATTTGTCGTGAACAGTCGTGTCAAATGAACAGGTTTACTATGAACACATAAAGCTGAAATCACATTGATTTAAAGAGCACTTTTTTAGACATGCATAACACCTCTTCGCGCCAAAGATCGATGCACTTGTAAGGTCGATTTCGCGAGAATTGGCGATCCAAACAGTCTAACGGATAGGGGCACTTGCGTGCAAATCAACAAATGCTCAGCGGAACCAAGTATGATTTTTGTGAATTATCTGCAAAATTCAGTGTTTTCAAAAGTATCATCAAGCTACGTCAAGCTGATTTTGGCTTGGCTTAGCTTGGTTTAGCTTGGCTTGGCTTAGCTTGGTTTAGCTTGGCTTAGCTTAGCTTGGCTTGGCTTAGCTTGGTTTAGCTTGGCTTAGCTTAGCTTGGCTTGGCTTAGCTTGGTTTAGCTTGGCTTAGCTTAGCTTGGCTTGGCTTAGCTTGGTTTAGCTTGGCTTAGCTTAGCTTGGCTTGGCTTAGCTTGGTTTAGCTTGGCTTAGCTTAGCTTGGCTTGGCTTGGCTTGGCTTGGTTTAGCTTGGCTTAGCTTGGCTTGGCTTGGCTTGGCTTTGACCTTGGCCTCTTGTCTCATGGCTTTTTGGAATGTAAATCCATCTTCTTTATTTCAAAACACCAGCTTCTTTATAGAAGAGCTGAAATGCGAAGAAAACGAGGAAATAAAGAAAGCGACAAATGAATGTGATGATTGCTTGACGCGGAAAAAAATCGACAAGCAGCCAAGCGTACGTTTGACACTGTGAACAGATGAAGTTGAAAAGTGTATTGATCTAATAATTGCACCTTTAGAAATGCACAGTACGCCCGGCGGAGATAGGCAAAGAGAAATGTGTTTGTAAAGACGGTTTCGCGAGACTTGAATCGACGAATTCACTCGTAAAGGGTGTTTGCGTGAAAATCGAAAGTTGCCCCGCGAAGAGACAAGATTACGGTAGAAAGAGAAAGGGACAAGTTTTAGAAAGATTTCAAAAATATATTTACTCGAAAACTATCCCTTATTGTTTTAGATTATATTTTCAGATGTAGCTGAGACGTGCGAAAAATCGAATGAGGAGCGAATCAAGAATACTGGATGCGATAATTGCGAAAGTCGACAAAACGGTCAACCAAGCGTGGGTTCATTTATACAAAAATGAACGAAGAGCCGATTTTCCAAGCTTTGCCTTTGGCTTTTCGCTTTTTCGTTTATCCCTTGACTTGTTAAAGCTAGTAGATAGCATTGAAATCAATCTTTTTGTACAAACTCAACTTCAGAAAGACTGCGCGCGTCCAGAGGCGATAAGTTGTGTTTGCAAGCCAGATTTCGCCCGACTCAATGGTTTATGCGTCAAGAAGGAATTGTGTCCAACAGCAGTAGATCCAATAAGTGAGTGGAAAAGATTGGATATTTGATTTGGAACAATGCTTCAAACCTTTGAGATATTATTGCTAGTTTATATTTTAAGAAATCTGAGAACTTGAGATCGACAGCATAACTTTCTTTCCGTGAAGATCTGGATGTGGATCTGGATATCATTTCTTGATCTGAGTTCACTTGAGTTCATAGTTACAATGCTTTAGTATCTTGATATAATTTTATATGATATCTAACATTTTTCAGAATGTCCACCATTTGAAGTGTACGGTCTCCGGGACTATTGTGATCACTGCTATTGGAAGCAAGCGAACGAGGTGAGTCATTTTGTCAGTCAAAGCTCCCAAGTGTGCCACTCTTAACTCACAGCTCTACTTTAAAACTGACCTAAAAGAAATCTAATCATCGCTTTTCTAGAAATGCCCATACAAGAAAGCCACCGAGAAGGGTTGTGCCTGTCCAACAGCGACTCATGGTCGTCGTCGTAGTAGTGAATGTGTTCCATTCGACAAATGCCCCCCACTCATCCGTGGATGGCTGCCCGAGCCCGCTTACTATGGAATGGATGATCACGTTTAAATCGTTTTTGAGATAAAATTTGAGAATAATGTGGCTGATAAAAGCACACAAATCACATGAATGAATCACAGATCACTCACAGGCTTGCCAACTCAATTCACAGTTATTAGAAGCTCAGAATTTTTATGGAACTTGATCCTCCGCCAAGTGGTAAACTTAGTTTGGTGCTTGATAGTTTATATGAGTTTGCACAATCTACAATTATCAAAATATCATCTACAAAGCAAAAGAAAAATCCCAGAATTAGAAGTGAACCGAGCGAGTGAGCCGAGCGTGAGCCTAACTTCTCCCCTAACTACTCTCCTAACTACTCTCCTAACTACTCTCCTAACTACTCTCCTAACTACTCTCCTAACTACTCAGCCAATCGGTAAGCAATCGGTAAGCAAAACCAATCTTTTCACAAACAAATCCACTTGAAAATCTGTGTTTCAACTTTTACAATGAGAAAATTGTTAGTCAATTGTTGGATTAATGTGAAAATTGTTAGTCAATCTTGGCTAGATTTAAAGCCGCAATTTCGGCAATTGATTTGACTGCTCTGTGATTCTTTCTTGAGGTATCTATTTATCTTTTGGGTGTGTTTTGAGTGGTCTCCCGGGTAATTATTGTGATTTTGTTTTGTCGCTATTCAACTGAATAAAGCATATATATATAATCATGATTTCAACTTGATAACTTTTAAAAGTCATCAAGTTCTTTAAGCTCTTAAGTTTTTTAAGCATCAAGATTGACCGCATTACGATATCAAAACCGAATTCGGCATCAAAACCGAATTCATTCGAAGTCGGCAATGGGAAAACATTGAAATTCTTATTTTTACTTGAAATTCGTACAATTTTCGATTTTCACAAAAGTTCTTGTACATACAAGCTCTTTTTTTCTCAAAGTTTTCATGTTTTTGAAAATTTATCGATATCAAAAAGAAAAAGCCAGCGAAAGCAAAAATTTACTATGCAAAACGGTCGAAATCTCAAGTCGGAAATGGGCAAAACATTCAAATTCTTATTTTTACTTCAAAGATTATTCTTTTTTTTTTCTTCACAATCACAAACTCGGGGGATCTTTCTTTCGTGCACACATTCAGCAGAAAAAACTAGAGTCTTTTATAACACAAAAGAAGTTGAAAAGCCAAAGAAAATCAAAGAAAATCAAAGAAAATCGTAAAAAATCATAAAAAATCGTCAAAAAAGCGCAAAAAATCGAAAACCTAACCGATTTTCTAGAGAAAGAGTTGAAAGAAGTTGAAAAATAAAACAAATAAAACGAATAGAACGAATAAAACGAAATTAAAACGAAATTAAAACGAAATTAAAACGAATAAAATGAAAATAAAACGCTTTTTCAACGAAAAAACCACCTAATCGGATCGTTTAAAATGGGAAAATTGCCTAGATTTTAGATGTAAATCAAGAAAAATCAAGAAAAAGCAAGAAAAATCAAGAAAAACATTGTAATTCTAATATCCTAAGCGGGAATTTTGTTGCTATTTTGTCGGAAACATGAAAAATCACAGGTGATAGGAAAGAAAAATCGGGGAGAAGTCAAAGGAGAAGTTTCAAAATTTCCAAAAAAAAGTGGGCTTATTTGAGACTAGTTGGGGGAGGGGAAAGACTTCTGTTCTTCTGTCGGAAAAAGGAAAGTTTCAAAATTTTGAAAGCGATTGGTTAGGATTTGGATTATGGCCTCATAAAGCATTTCAGGGCTGATAAAAGCCCATTTCAGGCCTGATAAAAGCTCATTTCAGGTCTGATAAAAGCTCATTTCAGGCCTCAGCTGTTAAACTGAATATCGTTAAAGTCATTTGAAGTACTGAAAAAGCTATCGGTTTTTTTCCGTTTTCTAAAAGGCACTGAAAACTACCGCAATCCCACAGTTAGTTTTCTTTCGATTAACCTAATTTTTGGTTTCATTTGACTTAGCTTTTATCAGGCCTTGTGATGGCCTTGTGATGGCCTTGTGATGGCTTTGTGATGGCTTTGTGATTCTTTCATCAACTGATACCAAAGCTGATTAAAAATAACTTGTCTAAGTCTAATGCCTTTTAGGAAAACTAGAAAATTAGCTAGCTTCAGCTTTTTGGCTGAATATTTTTTAACCTTAGCCATAAAACAATCGTTCTTTAACAATCGTAATAATAACAATCGTTTAAAATCGCTTTTCGCTTTTCAAAATCACTTTTTCTTTTCCTTCTCTTCAAATATTATTTTGTACTTTCTCGATTACCGTATTCCAACGAAATATTCTATGAGATAGGGATTGAAATTGATTGAAATGGATTGAAATTGAAATGAAATTGATTGAAATTGATTGAAATTGAAATGAAATTGATTGAAATTGATTGAAATTGATTGAAATTCATTTCAATTTCAATCAATTAAAAAGGATTACTGTAGGGTAAAGCAATCAAAAGAAAGGGTGCTTTTGTTTGTGTGAAAGAAGAGGTAAAAGAAATGAGAAGATAAGGAAATAAGTTTCTAAAATGATTTGAATATTTTAAAACTCTTAAGTTTCGAATTGAATTGAATTCGAATCGAATTCTTTGCATCATTGTGTATCCGTTTCGGTCGGCGTAGCCGAATCGTAAACGGTGTCGTTGTCGCGAACCTGAAAAGGGAAAAGTTTGTTTGAAGATTTGAAAAACGGGTTTTAAATCATTTTCAGTATTGATTTGATCAAATAGTTTACCGATAAATAAGGAGATAATAAATAAATAACATAACATAAACTCAACGCTGAACTATGCTGGTTTTATGGACCGAAACTCGTTTGTGGACTCGAAAACTTTTGAGACCAAGTGCCGAAAAGATTAATTTGAAGATACCGTATTTTCTCTAATAGTAGTGCACCCCGACGAGCCGAGTTAGTGACTATTTTACGGTTTCCAAGCTTCTGCAGAAGCTCAACACTCAAATGCCCGACTAGATCTCATTGTCAGCTACATTTTCCGACCCCACATCGATAGGTTCTGATAAGTGGTTTTCGAGATTTCGAGCAATTTAGGCAAAGCTTAGGGTGCACTACTATTAGAGGAAATACGGTAATCGACTCGAACTTTATTTTAACACATTGACGACAAAGTCACTTTTGGCTTGGCTGGCGTTTCGGACTATCTATGTTAGCGACTTGAATTGTGCTTTTTAAAAAATCCAAAAGCACGTTGCCCAACTACATGTAATTCTCTATTCAAAAAAATCAGTGCAGACGGTCCTCTGGGAGCTGAGGAGTAACGCGCACAGACAGACAGACAGGCGTCTTATAACTTTTATATATACCGTATTTTCTCTAATAGTCGTGGACCCCGACGAGCCGAGTTAGTGACTATTTTACGGTTTCCAAGCTGCTGCAGAAGCTCAACACTCAAATCCCCCACAAGATCTCATTGTCAGCTACATTTTCCGACCCCACATCGATAGGTTCTGATAAGCGGTTCTCGAGATTTTTAAGGAATTTAGGCGACACTCTGGGTGCACTAATATTAGAGAAAATACGATAATTACAATTTCAATCAATATAATCTCAAAGCAAATATCTATTTTTCGTTTAGTTTACAAATTTGATTGCACATTGTGTGGTGTTGCTCAAAAAAAGATTGCAAATTTGTATGCAAAGTTTACCTCGGTCTGAAGTCGACACGTTCTCTCAAGGGTGCCGGCTCCGCAATCGCAAAAGAAACTGAAATTTGGAATTTCAAAAAAAAGAAAAGTAAACATTAGTTAAACAATGTTTCAATTTGAGCAAATGAAATTGAAACGCAGGCTACAGAATCAACCAAATCAATCAAATTACGTTTTTTCTTTACTTCAGAGACATTTTATTGGTAAAACTTCTTTAAAATTGCTTTTCAAATTCTTTAAAGCGAAGAAAATCGACAGTTTTCACTATTACAAATGAAAAATTTCACTTTTGAACGCTCAAATTGAAATATTGTTTTAATTTTCGAATTTTTCACATATCTATTAAGTTTTCTCTTTCGAATTTGAAAAATGAAAATTATTGATTTTAAAAGTCACTATCCCCACCGGGGAAGATAATTTGATAAATTTTCTATTGTAAAGCTCCGGACAAATGAAGAAAAAATGATTAACCTGATAAAATGACTAACCTGAAAAAATGACTAACTAAAAAATGAAAAAGTGACAAAACGAGCGATTTTCTCCTTAATACGCCTTTATTTGAAACAAGCTTTTTTTTCCTTTCCTTTACTTTAAGAGAATTCCTTTATTTTTATACTTTTAAGCATACTTTTACCTTTAATACTTTTGTTTAAAGTTTAAGAATTAATTACAAACGAATTTCAAGCTTATTTAAAGTCTATTTCTCGAAAAGATCTTTTTCACTCACCGATCATGTCTGACAAATTCGACTAAATGCCCCTGGTGACAGCTGTGGATACAATTGATGCAAATTGCGTTTCGCTCGGTTGTGTTGCACGAGATGCATCTAAAAAAACGATTGGTAAGCTTGAATTAAAGCCAATAGTTGAATTCAGATTCGAACATTTCATTGTTTTAGTTAGAAAATACTCCGCTAAACTTTAAAGCCACTCTAGCTTTACTTTAGCTTTAGAAAATACTCTGCTAAACTTTAAAGCTACTCTAGTAAAGCTCTAGCTTTACTTTAGCTCTTCAGAATTAATTTTGAAAGTTGCAAAGCATGACAGTGATGTGTTCAATAATGCATTTTTAGGCTTTTAACAAAAATAACTATTAGAAATACAAGATTTCTACAATATTTCTACAATATTTCCCTTTTTCTAGATATTTTCAATGCTTACCGATAAAAATCGTGCATTGGAAATGAGGTGCAGCTGGAGATTTTGAAGAGACATTGACCACGGGAAACTGCTTTCTCGACAGCGTTCTGGAATTTTTTTTTGGTTTCAAATCATTAAACAATATGTATTCTAATTACATTCTTCTTTTGAAGAATAAAGGGATAATAGAGGTAGTAGGAGTAACGGCCGCAGTGGCCATAAACTTTTATAGACTGTTTTATAGAGTGTGTTTAGACTTTTATCTCTTTCTTATGTATCCTTTTTTTGGATCACATTATTGATTTCAATTGGTTTATTATAAATTACCTGATTTTCGTAGACTTTATTATCGCGGAGAATCGGGCGCACATCGGTCGCCAGACAGAGACCGCCGAACTAAAGTGATTAGGTCAAAAAGATAAACAAATAATCCTCTTTTAAAAAACCAAATCTTCTGAATACTTCAAATCAAACCTTGTTGTGGAAAAGTTGATTCCCTTCGAGAGTTGCTGTGGCTCCGTTGGTGATCTCAACGCCAGCGGCTCGACCCTGGAATGGGGAAAGTTTTTAATGACCCCCAATCTCTCAAAAAAGCAGTACAGTCATTCTTAAATTCTGCTTTGTGCTTAAAAAAAGAAAACGCAGCCTTTCTGATGCACTAAATCTTTCATTTAATCTTTCATTTAGATCAAGTGCACCAGAAAGAATGTGTTTACTTTTTGTTGAGCACAAGGTACAGCACAATGCCCTGATCTAGTAGTCAAGCACAATGCTCTCTAGTAGTCAAGCACAATGCCCTGAACTAGTAGTCAAGCACAATGCTCTCTAGTAGTCAAGCACAATGCTCTGATCTAGTAGTCAAGCACAATGCTCTGACCTAATAGTCAAGCACAATGCTCTGATCTAATAGTCAAGCACAATGCTCTCTAGTACTCAAGCACAATGCCCTGATCTAGTAGTCAAGCACAATACTCTGATCTAATAGTCAAGCACAATAAAAGTTGTTTTCAAAGTCAAAGCTCAAAGATTTGTGCGAGCTTTTACTTTTGTGTCTTCTACAAGACAAAGACACGTGTCAGTGTAAACTCAATTAGACAAGTTGTGTTTCAACTTTATCAACGTTTCTTTCTTTAGTTAATCTTTAGTTTTAATCGCTAAACAAAAACCTTTCTAACTTTCAGCTTTTACTTTTTTTTTCGAATTTCTTAAAAATCTACCTCGAATACTCGATTCCTTCTTAAAGTTGGATTGCTTTCCGTCGAGATGAGCACACCGGCTTGCGCGTTTCGATAGATATCATTATCCTCCAAAAGTCCTCGACCCTGGAAAATTTTTTTAATAACAAATTTACTTCTAAAATAAATAAGAAAAAGTTAAGCTATATCTAGGGTTAAAGTTTTGACGATATTTGTTAAATTTGTTACGGACATTTTACCTACTTTATCTCATCTTTTGACACTTTTTGTGTCCAAATTTCAATTCTACTCTCATAAAGTTTCAAAAAAGTTTTACAAAACTTCAAATATTCTTTGCAAAGACATCTTATTATACAGTGATGAAAGGAAAAAAAAATCTTTCTTTATATAGAGCGCTGTTTTATATATAGCTTAGCGTCGGATGGCACCAAAATTCCATTCTGCTATATAGAGCCGTTACAGAAAGTCTGTGTTAAAATTTCAATCAATGAACTGATTTGGTTCAGATTGAAACACAACTTTTTAAAAGTCAAGCTACAGTATACAGCTATATACAGAGTGCGCCTGTAGCTCTGCCCCGTAACTGTGCCCCGTAACTGTGCCCCGTAACTGTGCCCCGTAACTGTGCCCCGTAACTGTGCCCCGTAACTGTGCCCCGTAACTGTGCCCCGTAACTGTGCCCCGTAACTGTGCCCCGTAACTGTGCCCCGTAACTGTGCCCCGTAACTGTGCCCCGTAACTGTGCCCCGTAACTGTGCCCCGTAACTGTGCCCCGTAACTGTGCCCCGTAACTGTGCCCCCGTAACTGTGCCCCGTAACTGTGCCCCGTAACTGTGCCCCGTAACTGTGCGACCAAAGCACCCCTGAGCGGACCCTCTTCTCAATCACTTGTCTTAAATAGCGTTGCACTTATAAATTAACCAGAAACGTTTTCTAAATTAGTTTTTTGCGAGGAATTCGAATTTCTTACTTTTAAAATCGAATCTTTTATCTAAAATTACCAAGAATGCAGAAAATACAAGTACGGGAACTTTTGGCGCACCCTGTAGAGCCGTTACAGAAAGTCTGTGTTAAAATTTCAATCAATGAACTAATTTCCTTCAGATTGAAACACAACTTTTTTTGAAATTCAAGCAATTTCCCAGAAACGCACTTTGTTGAAAATGCAGACACCACCGTCGCGACCATCGTAGATTTTATTTCGTCGTAAAATCGGATGCGAATCGGTCTTGATCCAGACGCCTGAAAGTTAAAGGTTCATTGTTGAGTAAAAAAAATGGGATTGCCAAATCTTCGCTGTTTTTTTTGGAGTATGATAGTCGAACGTAAACTTAAAGTGTGTTTGGCTATCGGCCATCGTTTGGCCATGTTTGGCCATGTTTGGCCATTTCACTTACCGGCCATCGCGTTATCGAAAATCTCATTATCTTCTAGGACTCCTAAACCGCCGTTGTACACGAGCACACCGCCGTTTTGTCCTCCCCAAATCTTGTTTCGTGTGATTTTTGGATTGGAACCCGTTCTGGAATGAAAATTTAGAACATTTGCAAAGAAATTTATTGCACTTATTGCATTTCTTTTGTTGCAATGCTTTATTGAACGTTGATTTGTAATTTGAAAGGTAAAATCTCAATTATGAAGTTTAAAAAAGCTATAGTTTCAAGAGAAATGTGAGTTTTCAATCAGCCCTTCATTTCATTGCATTTCTTTTGTTGCTTTTTTCTTAATTTTTTGAATTACTCACCGAATTTGCACTCCCGAATACGAGTGATTGAAGATATCGTTCTCTTCAAGGAGTCCATGCCCGTTGTCGTAGAAATAAACGCCAACCTAGAATTTTGCTTAGTTCTTAGCTTAGTTCTTAGCTTAGTTCTTCCCTTGGTTCTTCCCTTGGTTCTTCCCTTGGTTCTTCCCTTAGTTCTTAGCTTAGTTCTTAGCTTAGTTCTTCCCTTGGTTCTTCCCTTAGTTCTTCCCTTAGTTCTTAGCTTAGTTCTTAGCTTAGTTCTTAGCTTAGTTCTTAGCTTAGTTCTTCCCTTAGTTCTTCCCTTATTTCTTCCCTTAGTTCTTCCCTTAGTTCTTCCCTTAGTTCTTCCCTTATTTCTTCCCTTATTTCTTCCCTTAGTTCTTCCCTTAGTTCTTCCCTTAGTTCTTCCCTTAGTTCTTCCCTTATTTCTTCCCTTAGTTCTTCCCTTAGTTCTTCCCTTAGTTCTTCCCTTAGTTCTTCCCTTAGTTCTTCCCTTAGTTCTTCCCTTAGTTCTTCCCTTAGTTCAAAATTTTTCAATAAAAACAGACATTTTAAAACTTCAAAGTCATTGATGAGCAATTTATTGGTTTTGATTTCAAAAAAGTCACCAAGCTTTTTGAAACTAACCCTTTTCAAATCAAAGCTTTACCCTGCTTTTAGCTTTTATTTTGATGGGTTTTTTGTTTGTTAAATGCTTTTGTTTCAAGTTAAATGCTTCTTTTTACATCTTTTTACATCTTTTTACATCTTTTTACATCTTTTTACATCTTTCTACATCATTTTACATCTTTCTACATCATTTTACATCTTTCTACATCTTTCTACATCTTTTTACATCTTTCTACATCTTTCTACATCTTTCTACACCTTTTTACATCTTTCTACATCTTTCTACATCTTTCTACATCTTTCTACATCTTTTTACATCTTTTTACTGCTAAATCCCCTCCTTTAACCAACCTGTTTTCCCGAGTGTATCCGATTTTTGCGTAAAACCGGACTGCTTCCCGTTGTCACCCAGATGCCGGCCAGGGTGTTCCCGTAAACCTCATTATCCTCGATGACACCCTTGCCCTTTTCATGCTAAAATTCAAACTACATAACGGGATTATGAGGCTACAAGTGATCAGCTTTGTGATTATTCAGAGATGACTATCAACGATTAGTCAACAAGGATCAACTTTCATCGTAGAAAACTTGAAACATCATCTTTTTCGGGCAGCTTTTTTCTTTTTAATGCTTCAACTACATAATGAAACTTGTTCAAAAAACGTGCGTTTATTTCCTTTTTTTAAATTTTCTATCTAAATCCATATAAACTTCGATTTCAGATAAAAAGACAATGAATCTGATAACGAAATTGCAGAAATGACAGCAATCAGCAATATTTCAGTGATCTGATATCGCAAATTGACCAAATATTGACCAATACAAAACGTTAAACGCAATTTGAAGACCAAATTTGATGCGGAAACAATAGAAACTTAATTAAGTTAAACTCCAGAGCTCCAGAGAGCAACTTTGCAAATCAATTATGGCGTATAACTGACGTATAACTGGCGTATAACTGGCGTATGACTGGCGTATGACTGGCGTATAACTGGCGTATGACTGGCGTATAACTGGCGTATGACTGGCGTATGACTAGTCCACTTTCTAACTTGAACTTGTTTCTAATGTTTTTGAAAACTTTTCCCCAAACAACTCACCACATAAATCCCCCCGTGAAGACCATCATGAATTTTGTTGAGACGAACGATCGGATCGCTGCCCGTTCGGATTTGAATCCCGGCCAGCGCATTGCCGTAGATATTATTGTGCTCGATCAGCCCTCGACCCTCCGAAAAGATGTACACTCCACCTGGAATTTGGTTTTGATTAGGAAAAGGACGAGGATCGAGGACGGATTGGAGAGGCAAAAAAAGTACTGCTCGAAATACAAAAGAATCGATGGGAAAACTCAAAATAAAGAGGGATTGACGAGATTGTTACAGATTAATTTTTGTTTGTTACAGGTAGGAGATGAATAGGAAGAGTAATGAACTCAAGAAGAGAATAGGAAGAGAAAAAGATACTTTATGACTCTTTTTGGCAGTGTTTGAACTGTTTAGCAGCAAGAATTTTGATAAAAACCCTCTACTCGGAGTATTAAGTAAAATCAAAGAAAAAGATTAAGAAAAGAAGTTTCAATTAAGTTCAACTTCGAGAGCAATTTTGCAAATCAATTCTAGCGTATCAATCATTTTTCATTTACACAAAGAATAGTTCAGAGAATAGTTTCTTAACCATAAACTCAAGCAAATCAATTCTCTAAAATAGTTTTTTTTGTTTGCGACAAGAAATTGTATCTAATTTTAGATCTAAACTATAAAAAAATTAGATTTTCTTAAAACAATGTCCCGAAAGAGGAAATTGAGTTCAAAAAAGTTCAAAAAAGTTCAACCGTAGCTCAAAAAAGCCCGTTTCAAATTCGAGTTTCTTTTTTTGAAGAATTAAAATGCTTGTTTCAATGCTTGTTTTCTTTTTGGCCCATTTTCTAATCCTAATTCTAGTTCTAGTTCTAGTTCTAATTCTAATTCTAATTCTAATTCCAATTCCAATTCTAATTCTAATTCTAATTCTAATTCTAATTCCAATTCTAATTCCAATTCTAATTCCAATTCTAATTCTAATTCTAATTCTAATTCTAATTCTAGTTCTAATTCCAATTCTAATTCTAATTCTAATTCCAATTCTAATTCTAATTCTAATTCTAGTTCTAATTCTAATTCTAGTTCTAGTTCTAATTCTAGTTCTAGTTCTAATTCTAATTCTAATTCTAATTCTAATTCCAATTCTAATTCTAATTTTAATTCTAATTCTAATTTTAATTCAAAAATCTCCCCCACCTTGATGTCCACTGTAAATCTCATTCTTCCGAATCGTCGGATCCGAATGTGAGGTGATCCAAATGCCGGCGAACGCGTTTTGATAGATCTTGTTCTCCATGAATTGACCTCTTCCTGAAAAGTGTTTTTGATAAAACATTGTTCTAATAACATTTTGAAGCATTTAACTTACAGTGTTTGACTTTAAAGCAACAAAGCTTTCGATTGAAAATGACAAGTTTCAATTAATTCTTGGCTCTATAGAGAAAGAGCGAGTTAATTGGTGCTAATACTCCTGGAGAACTTTCAGCCATTTTTAGCCAACTTTCAGTCATTTTTGCTTCGAAAACTGTTGGCTTTGAGAATTTGGGTAACGGGGATAACGAACTTTTCATCAGATTTACATATTGACTAAACTTATTGTCAAATAGAAAGATCAGTTGAATATACAGTCGACTTTCTCTTTAACGGAACTCTATGCGGAAAACTCTATATAAAGAAAGGGAATTTTGGTCCCGGCCGACGCTAAAGCTATATAAAACGGCACTCTATATAACGGAAAGCTTTATGTAACGGAAAAAAAGTTTTCGGTCCCTTCCATTCCGTTATAGAGAGAGTCGACTGTAGATAGATACCGTAAATACTCTAGTAGAACCACTCTATTAGAACAATCACTCTAATCGAGCCATAATAACGGGGGGTACAGTCGCGTAGTCAACTTTGAACGTCTCTTTCTCGGCGCTGTTTCAAGCTACAGTTTGCGCTTGGGTGTTAAATGATAGCTCTTGAGATCTAGGTTTTTTTGGTACCAAAAGTAGTCAAGAAAAATCTAGGGGCTGAGTAAAAATGATTCTCTAAAAAGAAGCTTTCTAATACGAGGCTTTTTATTAAAGTATTAGGTTGTCCGGAAATAAATGAGCGTTTGCAACTCCAATATTTAAAATCCCATAACTTGATCCAAATAAAACCTAAATCTAGGGGCTGAGTGAAAATGATTCTCTAAAACAAAATCCTCCAAAAACCAAAAACAAACCTTTCTCGTGAACATAGATTCCGCCAGTTAATCCATGGTGAACCTCACAACGGACTACCGTCGGATTTGCGTGGTTTTTCACCTAGATTTCATTCTATTTCATTCTATTTCATTCTATTTCATTCTATTTCATTCTATTTCATTCTATTTCATTCTATTTCATTCTATTTCATTCTATTGGGTTGTCCAGTTATGAATGCGCGTTTTTTACTATTTTGTAAATTTCTCAAGATACCGAAATCAAGAAAAAGATATATATGAGTATTATTCGAAAGCTGAAGATCGCCTCTACATTTTGATATAAAAACGTTTTTGAATTTGTTCAGCTTTTGGGCAAATCAACTGCACAGAAGAAGAGGTGGCCAAAAAATGGAAGGGTGCCTTTGGATCAAGTTTTGGCTCCGCTCAAATTGAGTTAACCGTTTGATGTTTGGCCAATAGATATATCAATATAAATTTTTTAAAATATAACAATTTCAGAGCATCTTTACTTTTCTTTTCTTTTCTGGGCGGTTATTTTACACCATAAAACTTGAGGAATAGCTAAGCTGGAGTGGGTTTTTTCGAAAACGACCTCTCCCTTTGTGCAGTCAATTTCCCAAAAAGTTGCATGAATTCAAAAACTTTTTTATTCCAAAATATAGAGGAGATGTTCAGCTTTCGAATGATATATAACACTCATATACATCTGTTCGATATCTTGAGAAATTTACAAAATAGTAAAAACGCGCATTCATAACTGGACAACCCGATATTTTATTTCATTCTATTTCATTCTATTTCATTCCATTTCATTCCATTTCATTCTATTTCATTCTATTTCATTCTATTTCGTATTCAGTTCTACTTTTTTCGAAAAAACTTTGCTTATGCATAAATTCGAATGAGTTTATTTGCAAAATTCACCTCAATTCCGCTTATTCGATTCGCGTGAATGTTGCATTTTTCGAAGTATCCTTGACCGAATCTTAAAAATTTTTATATTAAACCGTCTACGTAAAATTCTAACCGCAATAAGTGCAATCTAGCTTTTAAAATAGCTTTTTTTATGTCAAAATCTAGTCATATTACTTGCCAAAACACTCTCAAAAAGAACATAAATTAGGAAAAAAAAATCTACCGTATTTGTTCGAATAGAAGACCGGGTAAAGAGTATCATCGCGTACTCCTGCGTAGCAGCCCTTTTTAAAATTTCTTTTCTTCATAAAAGCTTTCAATCAAGTGCTATAGAGCTGGAAAATGGCTCAAAAATCTGTTAGCTCATGTGGTATTTTTGAGTCATTTTCCAGCCCTATAGCACTTGATTGAAAGCTTTTATGAAGAAAAGAAATTTTAAAAAGGGCTGCTACGCAGGAGTACGCAATGATACTCTTTACCCGGTCTTCTATTCGAAGAAATACGATATTTCAATTCTCAAACTAGCTGATTCATTAGTTACCCTAAAGTCTCGAGTATGAGTTGATCCGAGTATAAGTTCTGCCTTAATTTACATTCGCTTTAATTGCTTTGAATTTCTTTTTGTTGGGTTTTTATACATTTTTATTGTTATGTAGACTTTTATTATTGTTCTTGGAGCGCTGGGATACTACAGGGTGACAGCCTATAATAATTGCTATTTGTTATGTGCATGGATATATCCAGACAATAGTGTTGAAGAAGACGCTTGAAAGGCATCTCTTTCGACCGTCGACGTGAACTTTGGCCGGATGAAGAGGCCAGGGAGGGATCCATAAGACTGAGCACCGGAGGGGAGCAGGGCGGACGCGCCGAGCCACGCCCGGAGCAACAAATAACAGCATAAAATTGCTATAACCCTCAATAAATTTGCTTCTATTTGTTTACTTCTATTTGTTTACTTCTATTGTTCTTAAAAAGCAAAAAAGTTATGCTGCAGCGGGGTTCGAACCCTCGGCACACCGCACCGGAGACAGCCGTCAATTTGCATGCGAAAACCAAACAGAACTTATACTCGCGACTTTAGGGTACTTGAAAATTTCAAGTTTAGCGTACAACAATGGGCATAAAATTTGCTTTGATAAAAAGATAAAAGATAGCTTAAGATAAAAACTCACTCAAAAATAAAGATCCCAACATCTTTCCCGTCGTGAATATTGCACTTTCGGAAGAAAGGATTCGCGTAATTTTTCACCCAAACACCCGCCAGTTGATTTCGCGCAATCTCGCATTCCTGCAGCAAAATTTAGCATTTAGCAAAGTGTAAACCCAAAGTTGTCACTCAAAGTTGTCACTCAAACGTTCACTCACCTCAAACGTTCCCTGTGCATACTCGGTGATGTAAACGCCCACGTTATCACAATCGCAAATCGAACAATGCCGCACCTAAACAGAAATATTTTTTTAAATCTGAAAGGATGCTGTTTTTTTAACTTTTAAAATTTTAGAGTAGGTTAATTTTCGCAATTTTTTTTGCGCAACTCGCCATAACTTTCTTCTAAGTTTTGTGGACTGTTGAGAGTAGATAAAAGATCCCAATTATTTTCTATATGAGGGGCAGGCTAGTTTCCACAACTTCCGAGAAGAATGATCATTCTCCTCCGAAACGGACGTCCGACTCAGAGTCGGACGTCCATCTCAGAGTCGGACGTCCATCTCTGAGTCGGACGTCCATCTCTGAGTCGGACGTCCGTTTCAGAGGAGAATGAATCTCCTCAGATTCGGACGTAACATATACACTCGCGAAATAAACTAATTCTGTGGTAGGCTAGTTTCCGCAACGCAACCGCAACAACGCAACCAAACAGGAGTCTTTCTTAGCTAAAAATCTTCAATTTAATAGCTGAGTATTTTGGGTTTTGTGGACTTTTGAGAGTAGATAAATGATCCCAATTATTTTCTATATGAGGGGCAGGCTAATTTCCGCAACTTTTTTTTTTGCGTAACTAGATCTTTTGCACAACTCGCCATAACTTTCTTCTAAGTCGGTCAATCTTTATGATTTTGGTGCCATTTTGTAGATCACAATAAGTGCAACAGATTGTGTTTCAAATAAAATTGGATCAAACTGGTTAATTTTCGGGACTAATATGGATCAAGACTGAAAAAAAGGGGGGTGGCTACTTTGCGCCAAAATTTTTTTTGCGCAACTGGGTCGTTTGCGCAACTCGCCATAACTTTCTTCTAAGTCGGTCAATCTTTATGTTTTTGGTGTCATTTTGTTGCACTTATTTAGCTCTACAAAGTTTGCTTTCCATTATGCGATTAGATCTACAAAATGTGAGCTGAAACTTTTTTTTGTTGAAAAACAAAAGCTTTTAAAAGTCGTTTGGGTTTTAAAATTTCGAAATTCATCAAAACTATCGGAATCTCTGTTATCTGATGTTTTTTAATGGCATATTTTTCCTATTCGAAGTCCCACCTTTGGATTGGCGCCCGCTCGTTTCACGCAAACCGCCGCCCCGACAGTGCTCGTCGAGTTGATGATACAGCGATCGATTGTCGGGCTTGACTCGTCGGTTATCTGAATATTATAGTCGTTTTTGATCTTAAATAAGAAGAATAATTATAATAATGATAATAATGTACTCATTTTTATGATAAATCGTTTAAAAATTAAACTTTTATTTGAAACCGGAGAAATATTAAATTCAAAAAAAGTTCATTGTTTCAAGCTAATGAAAAAAGTAAAAGAAAACAGAAAGCGAAAAGACTCGAACTAGGGAATATTTGCCTTGAACTAGAGAACATTTACCTTGTATTCTAACGCATTGCCACTCGGTCAAAATGCTTTTTAAAGTCTCTGCAAAATCTGCTTATAAACTCGATAATTTTTAAAATACCATACAAAACTTTACAGATTTATAACTTTTGACGGGGTGCTATAGAGCAAAAAGGGAAAGCAGATTCGGAATCAGCGTAAAATTCTGCGTTGAATAACCTATAGAAAATGTTATTTGACCAATACACCAAATTGATTGTCTTTATCAATAGCTGATCAATAGCTGATCTTCTGTAAAAATCTTGTAACTCTTCCCGGCCATATTGGAAATCATTTTGCCGTATTTGCTCTAATAGTAGTGCACCCCGACGAGCCGAGTTGATGCCTGTTTTACGGTTTCGAAGCTTTTGCAGAAGCTCAACTAACTCTCTAATCCCCCACTAGATCTCATTGTCAGCTACATTTTCCGACCCCACATCGATAGGTTCTCCTAAGCGGTTCTCGAGATTTCAAGAAATTTAGGCGACGCTCAGGGTGCGCTACTATTAGAGAAAATACGATAACCCTTTAAATTGAAACATAACTTTTTTGAAATGGCTGTTTGAAATGGCTGCAAAATTATAACTTCCTTTACTAATATTTCAGTTTTTATAAAATGTTTATAGAAAACTTTCTATAGAAACTTTTAAATTCGATTTTTCTTCAAAGAATCTCACCTGTAGTGCATAGTAATGAGGATGACCAATGGGTACTCCCTGCACAGCTTGCGAGTTGTTGTCTGGGTTGAATCTGAATGAATGCTTTTTGTAGTAGTTTAAAAATAATATCAAAATATTAGAAAATACAGTATACTCTTAGTCGTTTAAAGAGCTTGAATCGACTTTTCCAATGATCTTTTACCGTATATTGAAACCGTATATTGAAAAATTACTGTAAATACTCTAATAGAAGCACTCCCTATAGGAGCATCGTGTAGTCTAAGTTTACACTCAAACAAACGCTCATATCTCGACACCAGTACATTGTTTTCTGCGCATTTTGATATCAAATTAAACTAGAGAAGATGGGTGATTTTTTGAGATATAACACATCCTTTTATTATTAACCAGCGCTTAGAAAAAGATGATTGAAAATGGGGGAAAAAAGGCGTATTTTTCATCATTTTTCAATCATTTTTTCTAAGCGCTGGTTAATGCTAAAAGTATGTGTTATATCTCAAAAAATCACCCATCTTCTCTACTTTAATTTGATATCAAAATGCGCAGAAAACAATGTACTGGTGTCGAGATATGAGCGTTTGTTTGAGTGTAAACTTTGTAGACTACATGATGCTCTTATAGGGAGTGCTTCTATTAGAGTGCTTCTATTAGAGTGCTTCTATTAGAGTGCTTCTATTAGAGTGCTTCTATTAGAGTGCTTACGATATCTAGAAGATCTTTAAAAGAACACATTTGATTTTGACATTTAACTATAGATCAATTACTTTCCCAGTTTGAAATTTTACCATAAATCTCCACTCACTTAATCGTCATGTATCCCACATATGCATCAGTCGATCCGTCGCCCAACGAGAGAGTCGTTTCATTGCTGTTCTCGATGAAAACGCGGCGTTGCACTGGATGCGCCGGAGCTAAATGACTTGGTGAAATGACTTAGTGAAATGACTTGATGAAATGACTTGCAATTTACAGTCGGTGCGCTCACTTCTACGGCCAATTTTCTTGTACTAAGCAACACTTTTTGCTAAAAGTTTTTTAGACCATCGTGTAGCCGAATTGAAGGGCTACATTTTGATCACAGACTCGCATAAAGTGAAAGCACTGGTAAATGGCAATTTCATTCGCATTCATTCGGCGCAATGATCCCTAGACTTTGAATGGAATGCTAATGCTAATGCTGTTCAAATTATTAAGCAAAAATCTCTTTCGACCACTTCTATTTTTGAAACATTGATTTTTGAAACAAAGTGTAACTTCGCATTTGGTTTGTTTGCGAATTTTGTTTGTTTGCGGTTTACAAATGTCTTTGCAGTTTGATTTTTTAAATTCTTTCACTCTTCACTAACAAATTCTATTTCTTCTAAACTCCACCAACCGGCTCCGATCATTTGAATTGACGAGTTGATGGCGATCGATTGTGGATGATATGTGCCCTGGTGAATGAAAATCAATTTCTCTTGACTCGGCTCAGCACGAACGTGTCTGGAAAAGAAATAGTCGTCGTGTTTCAAAATAAATAAGGATTATTAGTGATCTATGGTAGCTGAAGAGGAGGACCATGTAGGACCATTTCAATTTTATGGAACTCTTCGTCTTGATGTTTTGAATTTGAATTCAATCGATAACTTGATCACTTTTCAGTCTACAGAAAGGATAATTAAAAATCAAAGCTATTCAGAATTCAGATAATTTGCTGAATGAAGATCTTTTCTATCTATCTACAGTTTAGAAAACTTTTATGGAACTCTTCGTCTTGATGTTTTGAATTTGAATTCAATCAATAACTCGATCACTTTTCAGTCTACGGAAAGGATAATGAAATCAAAGTGATTCAGAATTCAGATAATTTGCTTGATAAAGATCTTTTCTATCTATCTACAGTTTAGAAAACTGTCGATAGATTCTTTTTATTGAAAAAGTGAATTACTCACTGTAAAGCCGTGTCAATCGTCTCGAAGTGGAGCATTTTTCGGCCGGATTGCCCGGTGTAGATCTTTGCACAATGCGGTCGCACGTGGATTCCGTAACGCTACAAAAAAACAACTTGTTTTAAAGTTATTAAAGTAACATAAGTACATAAGTTTAATTGTATCCTTCTTTTTATAGATTTTATAGATTTTACCTAAATATTTCAAAATTGAAGAGAATTTGAAACATATAGATTTGCAAATTTCTTAAACACTTAAAAGTTCGCTAAAACTAATGTCTCCTATTTTGAAAGCAACACCAACTCGTAAACGGTCACCAAAACTAAGTGATTTTCTGTTTCTATTGAAAACCTACTAAAGCAAAGCTAGTAGTAATCGAAATCCACTTCAATTTCAAAGTTTTCAACCCAACCCACCAATTGTTTGAAACTCTCTTTCCACGCGTTGTGCTCTTTCCACCGGGCTGGTTCGCGGAACTCGAATTTCCCGTGACAAGGATGATAGAGGGGAGTCGGATACTCGAAGGCCTCTTGGTAGAGGTTTTTCCTGTAAATTGAATCAGATTATATTATAGTTAAATGGTTTAAATCAGATCTGGCTTTGGCTTGACTTGGCTTGGCTTGGCTTTGCTAGCCTTGACTTTTAACCCTATTCGGATACAGTATGTTTATTAAAAAATTAGAAACAAGTAGAAAATTTAGAAAAGAACTATATATTGCTTTGCTAAAATTTACAGTTTCAAAAAATAAAACTCTTTAGTTTCAAGATTTTGCAGGAAAAGTGCAGTATCGAAAAGTGTATCTTTTTCAGCCCAATCGGTCTCAAAAAAAAAGTGCTAAATCAATGTACGGTTTACCATTAGGTCATATCATCTGAATGCGTTACAAAGCATGTTTCAAGGTGTTCAATATTTTCTAAGCTTTCTTTCAATCAATCCCCTAAACTGAAATAAAACAATAAAACTCCATCCTACATAAAATTCGAATAAAACTCTAATAAAACTCGAATAAAACTCGAATAAAACTCGAATAAAACTCTAATAAAACTCGAATAAAACAAAAAAAACCAAAAAAAAAACAAAAAAAAAAAAAAAAAAAAATAAAAAAAAATAAAAAAAAACCAAAAAAAAAACCAAAAAAAACCAAAAAAAAGAATAAAACTCTAATAAAACTCCATCAAACTTCATTGGGTGAAAAATTGACTTTTCATTTCGATCAATTTTATAAATCTTTTTTTTTAATCTAATGAAATTTAAAAATCGAGCAATTTAGATTATAAAAAGACGAATACTTATATTCCCTTTGGTTTTTTTAAAATTTACAAATGTCTACTTCTATTTTAAACAGTCTAGTTCTATTTTTAAACAGTCTAGTTCTATTTTAAACACTCTAGTTCTATTTTAAACATTCTAGTTCTATTTTAAATACTCTAGTTCTATTTTAAACAGTCTAGTTCTATTTTAAACAGTCTACTTCTATTTTAAACAGTCTACTTCTATTTTAAACAGTCTAGTTCTATTTTAAACACTCTAGTTCTATTTTAAACACTCTAGTTCTATTTTAAACAGTCTAGTTCTATTTTAAACACTCTAGTTCTATTTTAAACAGTCTAGTTCTATTTTAAATACTCTAGTTCTATTTTAAACAGTCTACTTCTATTTTAAACAGTCTACTTCTATTTTAAACACTCTAGTTCTATTTTAAACAGTCTACGTCTATTTTAAACAGTCTAGTTCTATTTTAAACAGTCTACTTTGATTTTAAAATATTAAACTATTACTTTTAGGTCGTTTAAAATATTAAACTATACTTCTACAATTGATAAAAAGTACCAAGTATTGATGTCATTGGCGACACGATAGTAACGCCGCGAAACCGCTCCCAAATTCGCCAAATCGTACTCATAAAGGTAAGAGGAAACCTGAAATCGTTTGATTAATTCCGCAACCGATTGGCTAATTTCCGCAATTTTTTTTTGCGCAACAGGGTCATTTGGGCGATTAGATCTTTTGTGCAACTAGATCTTTTGCGCGACTCGCCATAAATTTCTTCTAAATCTGCCAATCTTTATGATTTTGGTGTCATTTTGTTGCACTTGTTGAGATCTATAAAATGACACCAAAATCATAAAGATTGGCAGATTTAGAAGAAATTTATGGATCCGGACGTCCGAATCGTCCGAATTGACGTCTCCTCAGATTCGGACGTAACATACACACTCGCGAAATAAACTAATTCTGAGGTAGGCTAGTTTCCGCAACCGCAACCGCAACAACGCAACCAAACAGGAGTCTTTCTTAGCTAAAAATCTTCAATTTAATAGCTGAGTATAACTTAATGTTAGTTTCAACTTTTTCAAGATCACTTGCCAACTTTAAAACGCAATTTTTTAATGTAAATAGTTGATTGTGCTTTGGTTATGTTTAAGAATTGACTGAAAACATCTCGAAAATGCAACATTTAACTCACTTTAGTCAAAAGCTCTTCGGGCAGCGTCTCAATATAACATTTCCCGTCCTCAGGCGGATCGAGGAAACCCTCTGGTGTGTGAGAGCTGAAAATTTGAATTTATAAATACAATTTTTGAGTGATTATTATAAGTTTTTTTTTTGATTATAAGTACCTATTTTTGGGGGTAACGATTTTGGTAAACTTTTTTCAATGATTTATTTATCTTAAACTTTTTCAATTTTCACTTTAAAGCTAAAAAAAAAAAAAAAAAAAAAAAAAAAAAAAAAAAAAAAAAAAAAAAAAAAAAAAAAAAAAAAAAAAAAAAAAAAAAAAAGGGGAAAAAAAAAAAAAAAAAAAAAAAAAAAAAAAAAAAAAAAAAAAAAAAAAAAAAAAAAAAAAAAAAAAAAAAAAAAAAAAAAAAAAAAAAAAAAAAAAAAAAAAAAAAAAAAAAAAAAAAAAAAAAAAAAAAAAAAAAAAAAAAAAAAAAAAAAAAAAAAAAAAAAAAAATTATTAGGTAGCTTAGGCTATGTAGATTCAAATAGTTTTTGAGTTTTTTCAAAATCTATTACAAAAAAAGTGTTTAAATTGTGGGTTGAAGTTTGGGAAAATCGTGAGCGTGATACTAAAGAAGTACCTATTTTTTTCATTTAAATTCTTAGCCAGAAAGACTTATCCTTATCCTTATCCTTATCCTTATCCTTATCCTTTTTTTTTTAAAGGTAACTTTTTGAAATGAATAATAAACCAATTGATTTATGCTTTGTTTTATCAGAAAGTTCTATTGTTTATTTACAAATTACCCTTTAAGAAATTGTGAAAAGCTCAAGTTAGTTAATTTTTTTTAAACTGTCAAGTCGAGGACTTTAAAGTCCTGTCAAGGCAAAACTGTCAAGTTTAACTGAAACTTAAAGCTCCGATTTGAGCACTTTCTGTCAAAGAAACCTATTTTAGTGTTAAAAGATAAAAGATAGAGAATAAAAAGTTAGGTAGGTAGAGAAATTTTCAGAGAAATTAATTCAGCCGATTTCATTCTATGTTCATTGCAATGATTTTAGGAAAAAAGGAAAGAATTCTCATTTGGATTTGCTTCAAAGTGGGCTAAAATTTGACTAAAAATGAGCTAAATTAAATAGGTAATCGCTTTTGAAATAGTTAATTGTTTTTGAAATAGTTAATCGTCTTTATTTAAAGCAAAAGAGTTTATCAGCTAAGTATTCATTTATAAAGGAAGATTTCAAAAAAAGTGGGCAAGATTTTTCGGCGAAAACAATCGTTTCCCCATCTTCAAGTAGTTGAAAACATTCATTTAAAGAGCGCTGATTAAAGAGATGCTTAGGTTAAGTTAAAACTTGTTAAGCTAAGTTAAAACTTGCTTTCTTAAGTTAAAACAATCGTTTCCCTATCTTCAATCACTTCAAACATTCATTTAAAGAGCGCTGATTAAAGAGATGCTTGAGTTAAGAGCTCCTCTTATAGCATTAAGTAGTTTAGGATAGAATTTCAATATGATCCAATATGATTCAATATTGCTTCAATTGATTGATTGCTTCAATTGTTTGAATAAACTAGTTATCTATTTTTCCCTCAAAATCTCCCCTGGAAAACGGGAAATGATTGAAATTCCACAGCTAGGACAAGCCTTGTTCCCACTTGTTTTGCCCAGTGTTTATCTTTGGTGTGTAGTGAGCGAATTCTTCTTCAATTCTCCCCTTTTCCCCCCATCAAAATACCAAAAGAAACATTTCTCTTGTCTGTTTTCTTTCCGAAAATATTTCTTTCACTTCATTGAATGTTTCGTGACTTTTTTTAAGAACGCTACAAAGAATACCGAAAATCTGGGAAAGAGAAAAGGAAGAGAAAGAGAAAGTTAACCTATAAGCAGTACTTTCTGGAGCTCACTACAGCTTTCATTTCGATTCACAAAGGGTCATACCTATCATTACCTATCCTGTAATTTCAGAGAGTCGCTTCTGATAGGCTCAGGCTTAGGCTTCTGGTAGGCTCTAAGCCTTTGCCTATTGCAGAAGCTGTAGTGAGCGCTCCAGAAAGTACTGCTTATAGGTTAACTTTCAAAAAATTGAGATCAATTTGTGTGCTTTATTCACTCAAAATTTTCCCCTAGAAAATTCGATGTAAAAATTCTTTCTTTAAAAACTAAGTACGTCTGAATTTTACATTTAAGAGTTCAGTGCCTATTTCCTTGAATAATTCTTTGATTATTCATACAGTAGCACAGTTAAAACTATCGTAATCGTATAAAAAGTAAACATTTTAAAATAAACATCAGCTAAAAAGAATAAGTTTCAAGTTTATCAATGGTTTAAAGCATTAAACAATATTAGTCCCTCTTAAGCTAAAAAAAATAAGTTTCAAGTTTACCAATGATTTAAAGCATTAAACAATATTAGTCCCTCTTAAGCTTAAAAGAATAAGTTTCAAGTTTACCAATGATTTAAAGCATTAAACAATATTAGTCCCTCGTCGCTTTGCCAGAAAAAGTTCTCTTGAATTTAAATAAAAAAACAATTAGTTTAAAGTTCATCAACTACTCAATCATTGAAAATTTTTAATATTCCAATATTCTCACCTTTTCCGAGCCTCGCCTGGTGAATCGGCTTTGAAGCGCTTGCATGTCGGTTGCAGAGAAGATTGCTGAAATTTTAAATTTGAGAAAATCTGTAACCAATCTGTAACTGTCCCTATGCATCTATATTTCATTTATAAATGAATCAAAGAATTAATTAATCAACTAATTCTCCAAAACCATTCAACCAACAACCTTCAACAAAACTTTCAACTAAAAAATGAATCTTTTTAGATAGCTTAAAATAATTCGATATAAAGTCCGCTTACATATCTTCTAAATGATTGATGTTAGATCTTCTATATATCTTCTATATCTTCTTTAATTGAATATCTTTTCATTGCTTTCATTTCCCAGAAACCTGGGGTGTTAGGTCACTCAAAAAAGGGGGAAGAGTAGAGTGGCGATTGACCCGGCTTGACCCTGGCCCATTCCCTTTGTTTTTGACCTCTAGGAAAAATGGCTATGAGTTATTAGCTGTCTAAACAATTGTCATTTTGGCATTTGGCCATCGATTGTGAGAAAAACTGGTTCAAAAGGTTGATAAACTTATTGAAAACATTATTGATAAAAATAATGTTTCAAAGAAAGAAAGATAAAGTCGAGAGAGGAGCTGTTAATCTCGAGCTGATGTGAAATCTGATTTTCCTCTGAAAAAAGACAATATAAGCTTGCTATCTTCGAATTAAAAAGACAAGTTTCAACTTAACCAGCAAGGAAATTTGTTTTTTTATTATCAGTAAAGCCTTTATTTGCCATTTTGTCGTTTTGAGACAACTTTAGATACATTTTAATGGTCAATCGCTTGAATTCACTAGACTAGATCATTTAGATCAAATTCCATGTCATTTTCAGATTTAGAGTCACAATGCTGTCGTTAAAATAACAAATTTTTGCCGTTTACGTTGAAACTTGCTATTTTCTCGCTAATTCAGGAAAGCTAGTGCTAAAATAAGAAATTTAAACTTCAATGCTTCAACAATCAAATTTTCGTTTCTAATAATGTCTAATATTGTAAGACTAATATTGTAATACTAATATTGTAAACGTAATATAGCAATACGAATACATTGCCAGACACATTTTCTTGTACAATTCTTGCTATTAGATACTTAACTATAACTAACTATAACTAACTACTAACTATAACTAACTATTGTCAGTTGTCAGTATTAAGGGACTATCAGTTAGTCCCTTAGTATCTTCATAGAAACCCTTGCCAAGTCATCCAAGCCATCCTTCCCCTTTCCCCAAACGAATCTCGAGGTGGACAGGGGTTACATTGCGCAAGTCGACCTCTAATGTCAGGGACACTCCCTTCTTTTCTTTGCCGATCACACAAAGACCACATGGGACCGTAAAATAGAACATGGGATGTTTTAACCTTTTTTCTTATCTAGGTCAGCTTATGGGGTTAACTTGTAACTTGTAACTCATCTAACGAAAGGCCAAACCTTGCAAACCTGTAAGCCAAACAGCTTACAAATTTTCTGGAAAAGAAATTACTTTGTACTTTTGTAATTGCTAGAGTCAGAGCTAGCTTATGAGAAAAGAAACAACTCAACTAGCCATTGTTCAATTCAAACTGCTTTATAGTTAGTCAAATTGAAACTTCAAATCCTATTCATCCTCGGAAGACACGCTGTGCATTTTTTTTTGGTTTCAAAAGGTTTCAAAAGTGACCCAGTAATTTCATTTTGAGTTTTCTGAAGATCTTCCGAAATAAAATCAGAATTACAGCGTTTATGAAACTTAATAAACCCACAAAAAGAATCAAGCAAATCTGCTTGATTCTTTCTTTATGATTGATCAAGCTTAAACCCACAGGGGATCATTCTAATTAAGCATACTATACATTTTTGATTTCAAAAATGATTCAGTATTTTGGGTAATAGCAGAATGCCAAAAGAATTCAGGATAAATAAGAAATTTACTTGCAATTTCGATTGCCTATGTAGAGTTTTTCTGAAAAAAAAGGCAGCTTTTGATAATTTTATTAGGCTCCTGATCAGAGTTGGTAAAAAAGCCAAATTTCTTAGCCAAGTCAAACCAAAGTTAAGGTCTTAGATCAAATCTAACAGTTAGGTTGAAATTGTAGGCCAAGGTCAATTGAAAGTGATTGGCTTTGGTTTGGCTTGGCTTGGCTTGGCTTGGCTTGGCTTGGCTTGGCTTGGCTTGGCTTGGCTTGGCTTGGCTTGACTTGGCTTTGACTTGGCTTTGGCTTGACTTGGCTTTGGCTTGACTTGGCTTGGCTTGGCTTGGCTTGGCTTGGCTTGGCTTGGCTTGGCTTGGCTTGGCTTGGCTTTGGCTTGACTTGGCTTGGCTTGGCTTCGCTAGCCTTGACTTTTAACCCTATTCGGATACAGTATGTTTATTAAAAAATTAGAAACAAGTAGAAAATTTAGAAAAGAACTATATATTGCTTTGCTAAAATTTACAGTTTCAAAAAATAAAACTCTTTAGTTTCAAGATTTTCCAGGAAAAGTGCAGTATCGAAAATTTAATGAGCGCGCTTTTTCGATTTATTTATTTCTTATTTTTTGTGTAAAAGTTCTTATTTTTTTAAAGTTTCCTCCAAGATTTTCAAAACCCCTTTCCTTTTAAAAAGGAATTTCCAAGGATAAGGTGAATAAAAGTGTCGCTTTCCTTTCAGAGAAGAAAGAAAAAAGAAAAGGGGGATGTGGCCTATTTCTTGAAAAGAAAATGGCTTTCACTCACCTCAATCCATACTCACATCAAGGAAAAGGGGGAAAAAGGAAAAAAAGGAAAAAAAAGAAGAAAAAGAGAAAAAGAAAAGGAGGAGCTCGATTGCAGATCCCCCTAGAGATCCCTTTGCCTGTTTGTGCGTATCTCTAGTGCCTAGCACCGTCCACCTCCTCAACCCACCCCTCCCCATAGCTCTAGTTCGATGTCTTCTGCAAGGATTCTGATAGCAAATTATTAGATTAGCAGATTTTTAGGCTTTAGAAGCTTTAGAAATCTCCCAACCCAACTAGCCTCACCGAAACTGAAATAACCCCGTCAAAGTTGAAACAAAGCTTTATAAAGACCCAGGATGGCGTGATTTTCTTAAATTCTTAAATTCTTAAATTGAAAACAATAAATACTTTAAATTCTCTATTATACCGGCATTATTATAGCATTATTAGCGCTATTAAAGCTCAAAAAAGATATCGAAAGATAGAGCGCCATGTTAACGCTATTAGAGCTCAAAAAGGATATCGAAAGATAGAGCGCCATGTTAGCGCTATTAGAGCTCAAAAGGTTATCGAAAAATAGAGCGCCATGCTGGTCTAATAGAGCATTTACAATAGCGCAATTTTTTTCTAAAACATATTTGAAAATCCGTCTACTTATGTGGACACTAGTCGATTTTTAGGCTTTAAAGAATTTAAAGTTGAGGGTAGGAGTTTATTAGACTCAAGTAGACTGAAGAAACTCTAGCAAAGTTGAAACAAAACTTTCCAATGCCTTACAAATATTTGAAAAGTTTAAGATCATTGTCAATCACCACTTTCTGCAGGTCTTCAAATCTTTAAATGTCAAAATTCTCTCCGATTACTCGCCTCAACTCTCTCAGATCAATATTTTAAAAGATTAAGATTGTAAAAGATTGTTTAAATATCAAAATCCTCTTCGATCACTCACCTCATCAGCTGTAGCGGCAAGCGTGCTCGCGCACGATCCTTCTTCGTCTTTTTGCTGGATCGAGCGGCGACGACGTAATGTGTAGCGACTGAAAAGTTACAGTAATCCTAAGCATAAAGACTTTAGTATTAAACTTTCGTATTAAACTTTAGTATTAAAATTTAAAGCTTTTAACCATTAAAGAGTTTATGAATTAGATGTTTACTTGGACTTTTTTGAGTGAATCAATAAATATAAAATTTTAGAGTTTCAAAATTTTTAACTTGAGAGAGTTCAGTCGTTTGTCAATCACCATTGTCTGCAGTTTTCAAATATTTGCATTTATCTACAATCTCTACAGAAGTCTACAATATCTACAGAAGTCTACAATCTCTAGAGAAGTCTACAATCTCTACAGAAGTCTACAACTTCTACAGAAATCTACAATGTCTACAGAAGTCTACAATTTCTAGAATTCTACCGTAACTGCAACACTTGAACCAGAATTAGTTAAGGATTTCGAAATTAAATCAAAAAAGGTCATTATTGTCTAAGGTCGATGATCCTTATTATTAAATATTTTGAAACATGATTTTTTTCATTTAAAAAAATTTTTTTTTATTAAATTAAAAAATTTAATTACAAATCTTCTATAAAATTGCTAGTTTAGAGGAAAGGAAATTTGGTTTTTAAATTCAAAACCTTCTCAAAGTGATGGGACTGTTTGTAGTTGATGTCTCTTTTGATGTTGTTCCAATGAAAGCCGTTGCTTCCAGCGAAGACGATGAAGAGGAAGAAGAGCAGGATTTTATCGATTTTAGAGGCGTTTCCTGAAAATGAAAAGTAATGTTTCGAATTTGGGTGTAATGTTTCGCGGTAGTAATGTCTAATAATGAAAAAGCATGTTTCAAATCTTGTTCCTATTTTTAAGGCATTGGAAACTTTTGTTTCAACTTTGCTAGAGTTTCTTCAGTCTATTTGAGTCTAATAAACTCCTATCCTAATGTTTCATAGGCAAATCTTCTATATATCTTCTATATCTTCTTTAATTGAATATCTTTTCATTGTTTTCATTTCCCAGAAACCTGGGTGTTAGAATTGTTGTTTAAACTCACAAATTGTTTAGAAACTTGTCAACTTCGAATTGAAGTATTTCCCTTATCTGATTTACCATTTATTTACTTTGTTTACTTTGTTTTTACTTTGTTTACCCCGGAATTTATCCATTTACCGCCTTATTTCCTTAGGACTCGCAGAAGTGAGCAATGAAAGCAAAGCAAAGCAATGAAAGCAAAGCAAAGCAATGAAAGCCCCCCTTGTTGGCAATTAATGTTTCAAAGGGTTCAACTTTAGCTTTGAACTGGTTATGTTAATAAATCGTAGTGATTTTCTTGGTTAGCTTTGCCATTTACACACAAGAAGTGTGTTTGTTGTTACACAAACACATTTGTGTATCAATTACCCACCCCAAGAAGCTCTATGAGTGAGAAAAATAGTACTCAATAGACATCGGCACTATAAACTACAAAAATGATCAACTGTCCATTCCAAACGCTTCTAATTTGCTTGAAATCTATCGGATTTGCATGATCTATAGCTCAAAAGATAGAGAATTTCTAGAGCTTTCGAATGGACTAAAGCACATTTAAAAATAATAATGCTAAATGAAGTTACAGTGGTTTGACTTGAAACGGATCGTACTCGCGCGGAGTCGAAGTGATCGAGTCAGGTTACAAACTACAAACGAGTCGGTAGAGACTACTTTTGAATAGTGCATTGGAAAGCTCTTAAAATTCTCTATCTTTTGAGCTATAGATCATGTCAATCCGATAGCTTTGAAGCAGGCTAGAAGCGTTTGTAGTTTGTAGTGTCCATGCCGATGTTTCAGTTTTCAACATCATACTCGAGTTGATTTTTCCAATTAATCACATTGGGAAATACTTTGGTTAACTTTGGTTAACTTTAGCTAACTTTGGTTAACTTTGGTTAACTTTAGCTAACTTTAGCTAACTTTGGCATTTATTTGCAATCACTTTTACACTACCCATCCCATTCTCATCTCATTCCCGATTCACGTTGAAACTCACATTATTCGCCCCTCCTTCTTCGACATTTTCATATTTCGGACTCGGTCGATCATCCATACTCATCTCCTCATCCTCCATTTGAGATCTAACTGGAAATTCGAAAATAAATCACATATACACTACTGGACAATGAAATATCATATTTGAAAAAAGATCGTCACTTTCGCGCGTCTGTAGCTCCCTTGTCTTTACCGTATTTCTAAATATTAATATTACCATCGTGTAGCCCTTGAAAAGAGCTTTCAGAAAATGTATAACACTAATAGTTTAAACTCAAAGACACGGGAGTTACAGACGCGCGAAAGTGACGATCTTTTTTCAAATATCATATTTCATTGTCCAGTACTGTATAACTGTTGATACTAATATCAACTACTAATTTTCAATTCCACCAACTTGTTTACCTGAAATCTTTTGAGAGCTTCTGCGAATCGATTTAAACAAAGATGCAAAGAAAGCTCAAAAATCTGAAAATCATTTTGCTTTAATTTTAATAGCTGAGAATTTTTTGAGAAAATGGAGAACATAATTTATCATTTAAAAAAAGAGAAACTGAGTAAGTTGAAAGGAAATTAGTTTAAGCAAGGACACAGAAATAAATTTGCTCAAAAGCTAAGCTGTTTAATTGTTTTTATTAAACAGCTTAGCTTTTGAGCAAAATTGAAACATCAACTCTTTGACAGAATTGAAATTGGTGGGTTTCTCTCTTTTTCAACAACAAAATGCTTTATAAATATGATAAAACTGTAAAAACTGTTGAAACTTCAAGTTTTTGCAAAACAATTCGAGTTATTCAAAAAGAAAGAGAGATGCTGAAAATATTGAAACATTGACTTTTTCAACATAAACAAAACGCTTAAAAGCCGAAGAATAAGATGTTAAAACGCGGAAAAACTTGTGAATAGTGTGAATAACATACCGTAAATAATGTAATAGTACCCCACCCCCCTCGTACAGTCGCGTAGTCGCAAAAGTTTTTTAGTATTTCATTTTTTTCAAAGCGCCCGTACTTTCAAAAAATGCGTCTTTGGTATCAAAAAATAGCTGAAATTCAGGGCTATTTTTTGATACCTAAGCGCGCATTGTAGCATAAACCAGTGTCGAGAAAAACTTGTTCAAAGCTAGACTACGCAACGCTCCGCACCGTCATTATGGGGGTGGGGTGCTATTACAGTATTTACGGTATGTATAACTTTTGGTTATACATATTTTTCAAAATTTTGCTTTAAATCGTGTTTCAAAATGCGCAACCTTAATGGAGAATACCCTGGGTAATTTTGCAGCGTTTAGGCTCTTGCTCAGCCTCATCTATTGATAGTGGATGTCGTCAAATGTCGATTGCTGTTAGGACCATGATCTGTCATAGCTTTGCTCCCTGGTTTGACTGACCCTGTCCCCGGCTGATCCAAAGTCAAACCTAAGCCTAAGCCAAACATTGATCACCCACTATGCCAGCTTTTTTTGACGATCTATTGACGATTCAATCAAAATCATTTTTATATGTGCAAACATAGAATTTCATCTAGTTCCTAAAAAAACAAACAACTAGCAAAAATTTTAAAGTTAAAAGAAGTTATTCCCCAAAGGTTGCGAATTTTGGAGTGAAACTAGTAGATTTTGTTGGATCGAAGTTTGAAGCCGCGCTCAGGATTCTGACCATGTCACGACCCTGGATTCTACCAAACTTTGAAACATCATTTTTTTGAATGAACAAAAAACCAATTGGCTTACAGCTTCGATCTGTTTACAGGACTTATTAAGCTTTAGAAATATTCAGCTAATAAGAAAAGTTGAAACATTGATTTCTCGAACGGAACCAAAGAAACCAAATTCGTCTAGGAAAGATTTTTCGTTTGGTTGGAAGGGGATTTGAGGAGAAAAGGGGAAAACAAGGCGCAGACAGACAAACTAAGCGAATGACACAGAAATAGATGGGGAAGAGGTTGTGGAGAATGCGGAGGAATGAGAGAAAACGATTGGGAGACAACGACCGACTGGGGGAGGGGAAGGGTGCTTGAATGGATATCGAATGTGAAGGGGGAAAGCTCTGAGACTGGCACGTAGCCCTTTCTGGATTGGCTTTTCTGCTGATCCTTAGATAAAACACATGAAAACATGTGAGCTGAAAGAAGCGATCTGTGAGATGCTTATCGGACATTTGATACGCGCCCCGTTATTGGCAATCTAACTTTGAGCTCAAATAACTTCGTGTTGGGCTGTTCAATTTCAATATTCTTGATATAATTAGACTTGCCAAGTCTTTCTCCGTCGATTGGTACAAAAACTATCAAAATTGGACAGTTTGACACGAAGATATTTGAGCTTAAAGTTGGATTGCCAAGCAACTCGATTTTCTCAAGACTTGCTTGATCAATTTAGCCCTATTTGGTTTCATTATATAGCTTAGCATTCTCTCTATCAAAATATAGAAAAAGAAAACAAAAGATCAACTCTGAGCAAAGATAGGAGTCATTGCAGCAGCGCTTACCATTCAAAATACTCGAAAACCCGAACTCGTACATTGAAATTAGCCGGACGACTAGTAAAAATTGAAATCTTTAAAATGTGATTATAAATTAAAAGATATTCAGCTAGCTTTTAGTCTTGCAGAAGTCTAAAAATGTCAATATACTTTAAAAATTGGATTCAAGAAGTCGGAAGTCGTTCTTCTTGTGCACCGGAAAATCGATTAGTGGGCGCTGACAAGGAGCTGAGGCTGAGGAGGGATTTTTGGCCTATTTGCTCAAAAATATTCTAGTTTTTTTTAAAAATGACTCTGCTTCTGAAAAGTTAGTTAAGAAGAAAAATGAAATAAACTGAAGGCAGAACAGGCATGAAAAAGAAAGAGAACAAAGGAAGAGTTATGAATTTCAATGATTTCAAAAAGATTTATTGAAATTAAAAATAAAAATAAAAGAATTTTGATATCTACTTATTCATCATTATTCTGATTTAACAATGGTAAATAGACATTTTGATTTATCTATGAGAAAGTTAGTTGTTGAAAGTTCAAAGTTAGTTATGAAATTTAAGAGTTAGTTTTGCTTGAGTTTGTTCCTATAGAGGGCTTCTATTAGAGTATTTACGGTAAGTCTAAAGTTGAAAGTTTCATGTTGAAATATTGGGTTGGTGAATTGAAAACTGCGGGCTATTGTCATATGTGACAGTTTGAGGACTTTCTTCAAAAGAAACCCATTTTGGTGTCAATGGAAAAGTTGTAGAGAATCAAAAATCAAGCTTATATCCAAATTTTCAGCACGATTCAAAAACTGGTTTTCAAGAAATGCCAAATTTACGAAACTTTCACAAAACTTGCATTTTAAGCGAAACTACTAAGTGTATCTTTTTGGAAATTTGGCTATAAGCCTAATTTTTGATTCTCTGCAACTTTTCTATTGACACCAAAATGGGTTTCTTTTGAAGAAGTGCTCAAACTGGGACATTCCTTCATTTTTGAGTCTCCAGTCCTCCATTTTTGAGTCTCACACTTGTCTCACACACAAACCAAAATCCTACCACGAAAGAGGAATCCGCAAATTGCCTGTAAAATGGGCAGAAGTCGTCAATAATAATGGAAATTATTTGGAATGAATTCATGGTTTTATGTTGAATAAATTTTAGTTCAAAGTCCCGCAGTTTTCAATTCACCAACCCAATAGTTTACTTAATGCTTGAAAGAAAATAGTGTTAAGCTCTTCCCTATGGGTCGAATGTAAAGGGGAATAAGACGAGAAAAAGGATAAATAAATAACATATAAATGATAATAAAAGGATTAATATCTACCCAAGGTATGTGTCATTATTTTGGTCTAACAATGGTAATTCTATTTGCTTCATAGACTAGTTTACTTCATACTAGGAATGTTTAAAAATGAAGCTTCAAAAAGGAAGAAGATGAGGAAGAAGTAGCGGTTTGAAAAAGCTCGGCATTAAGGGAAGAGTGTTGCGTGCAATAGCCTGGTATCAAGGCAGAAGCTCAGGTGGCAAGGGTATGCGATTAGGTAGATCAATTCACTAAAAGACCAGGTTTATGTATCCAAAAATGATAGTAAAATAATCCAGTGAACGATAGAATTGTGCTTGACTATCACAAGGAATACAAAGGAAGAAGAAGACGAAGATGAGGAAGAAGAAGAAGATGAGGAAGAAGATGGAGATGAGGAAGAAGTAGCGGTTTGAAAAAGCTCGGCATTAAGGGAAGAGTGTTGCGTGCAATACAACACTGATCACTCAGCAAAAATGATCATTTCACTAATTAAAGAATTTATAAGAATCCAGTAAACCGATCGACTGTGCTTGACCACCAAAAGAAATACAAAAGCAAGACGATGCAGTTGAAGAAGTGGTGGATAGGAAAAAGGGGAAGACAGTGCTAGCCGGTGTCTCCACACACTTCGATAGGTGAAGAGGAGGAAAAAGAGGATGGACGGCCTAAATCAAGACAAGAAAGAGGTGAGGGGAAATTGGGGGAATGGTTGGGGGGATACTGAAGGGGTAAGGATTGGGAGAGGGTCCGAAAGGAGGAAACCGTCGAGGAGAATCAGGCCGCCCCCTTTTCGGCCTCTCTTTCCCAGTAAATCCTTGTCTTTTTCAACTCTCGAATAGTTCTATCTCTTCCATTTTGATATCTCTGAATCTCTATGGTTTTACTGGACTCTAGCCTACTGCCTAACCCTGAATCTCTGCGCTGAGCTTGACTCTACTCCTCTTCTCCACCTCTCTTTGTCCTGATGTCTAAATTTTCGTTTTCTAAGATCCCTTCTTTCTTTAGAATCTTTAGATCTCTCGCTTTTCTATATTTAGACCTAATACTTAGCACTTCTCTAGCCAACTCTCCTAAAAGTCTTACTATTCTCAAGACTTTGTCGTGTCTAACCTGCATCTCTCTGCTTCTACCCTCACCCCAAGTCTCCACACAATCTCTCATCCATCTTCACTCCATGCATACCCATCTTCTCTCCCATCTCTTCCATTCCACTTCTCTCTTTCTCCTCTACAATCCAATCTCCTCACCCACTCGACCCTTTCTCTTCTCCTCTTCTCCTCTTCATCCCCCTTTCCCCGTCGATTGATTCACCCGCACGCCACGCTTTGACGCCCGGCGAGGAAAATAATCAACTGGAGAAAGAGAAAGAGAAAGAGAGAAAGAGAAAGAGAAAGAGAGAAAGAGAAGAAAGAGAAAGAGAAAGAGAAAGAGAGAAAGAGAGAAGATATGAAGAAAGACTAGTGAGATTGGTTACTTAATCGAAAAGTTTAAACTTACCGTAAATACTCTAATAGAAGCCCCACTATAGAAGCATCGTGTAGCCTAAGTTTACTCTCAAACAAAAACTCAGATCTCATCATTAGTTTCTGCGCCTTTGATTATCAAATTAAAGTAGAGAGGAGAAAGTAGAGATCAAATTAAGTGCTAAATATACGCCTTTTTTTCCCCATTTTCAATCATTTTTTCTAAGCGCTGGTTAATGCTAAAAGTATGTGTTATATCTCAAAAAATCACCCATCTTCTCTACTTTAATTTGATACCAAAATCCGCAGAAAACAATGTACTGGTGTCGAGTTATGAGCGTTTGTTTGAGTGTAAACTTAGACTACACGATGCTCCTATAGTGGGACTTCTATTAGAGTATTTACCAAAAAGAACAAAATTTTAGTTTTTTTTTTTTATTGTTCTTTAATGATTGTTCTTTAATGATTGTTCTTTAACAATTATGAGCGGAAAATGCCGAAAAACCCTATCGTAGGTTAGCCATTCGGAGCTGAACACTTTAACCCTAAATACAAAAAGTAAAAGAAAAGCGGATTTCAAATTATTACTCCCAAAATATGAGCCAAAGCTTTAATATAACTCTGTGAGCTAATAGCAAGTCTCAAAATCATTTTAGAAAATGAGTAATGCGAGGGAAATCTTTTCATAATGCAAAATTGGGAAGCCAAATACTTTGAAGCCCATTGGGAAGCTGAATACTTTGATAGTTTACCCAAGCTCAATGCACTAAAAAGCAGGTTTCAAACGTTTCAAAAAGCAGCTTTCAAAGCAGCTTTCAAAACAGCTATGAAAAGATTTTCCTCGCAACCTTTGAAACCTTAAAAGCAGCTTTCAAAGGTTTAAAAAAGCAGCTTTCAAAACTTTAAAAAAGCAGGTTTGAAAGCTTTAAAAAAAACAGCAGCTTTCAAGGCTTTAAAAAAGCAGCTTTCAAAGGTTTCCCCCTTAAAATATATTACGTTTTACGTTTTTCTTCAAATCGTTTCTCTAATAAAGTCTTCAAAACTATTTACTTTTAGCTAATGTCTTTGCAAATAGCTCTCAATTCTTTTAGAATTATATAAATGTATGAAAATTATCATTAGTCGAAGTAGACTGAAAAATTTGCGTCTTTTGGCTCGCTGCAAACATGAAGAACGAAAGCAAGAAGAAGACGAAGATGAGGAAGAAGTAGCGTTTTGAAAAAGCATGGCATTAAGGAATGAGTGTAAGAAGAAGTAGAAGAAGAAGAAGTAGAAGAAGAAGAAGTAGAAGAAGAAGAAGTAGAAGTAGTCGAAGTAGAAAAGCAGGTTTCAAATTCTGGCCCCTTCAAAGATCAAGCTCTTGCTTTAATTCTTTGTAAAAGCAAATTTCAAAATCATTTCCTTTCAGTAAAATTGCTTCAAGAATAGCCACATGCACTTCCTTCAAATCAACAAATTTTGCAATAATAAATGAAGCAGTATGAAGAAGTAATCGTTGCGAGAAATTCTTCAAATTTGATGATTTGCTCAAGAGGATAAGCGGCTACAAAAAGGGGAAGAAATGGCAAAGAAATCCGACAACAAGATGAGATTGGAGATTGGGGAAAAGCCTCGTTTCAAAATAGACAAAATCAACGGTCAATCTAGAGCAATAATGGATCTTTTCTTTTTCTCTGTCGCTTGCAAAAATCTAAATTTATCAAGAAAAATGAAGATAGAGATGATGAAGATTTGAAGATTGAAGATTTGAAGATTGAAGATTGAAGATTCGAATTTAACAAATCGAATATTCAAACTACGTCAGCTACCATGAAATAGGCTTATTTTGAAACAGCATTTGTTAAAATTTGTCAATTAATCGTTGATCGCCTCTAAAAAGCATTACTTCGACGCCGACTTCCCTTACCTACATTATTCTATCGACTAGAGGCTGTTCACCTTGGAAACCTGCTGTGGATATGGGTACGATCCGGTACGAGATTCAAATTGGTTCCCTATAAAGATATAAAGATATAAAGATATAAAGATATAAAGATTTAAAAGATAAAACTCCTTAAAAAGATCCAATTTCAGAAAAAAATATCAAATTTTTGAAGTCAAATTTCTCACGCAAAAAAACGTGAGAAAAATTAGCAAAGCAAAAAAAAACCCGCTTCGAAAAACGAAAAACTTGACTTTTTTTGAAAAAGAATTCATTTTTTTGCTCAGCTAAGAAGAAAAAAAAAAGGAAACGAAAAAGAAATTTTGTTTGAGGCAAGCAAATGAAAAGAAATCTGTCTGGAAAAGAAAGCATTCAAAAAAAGACCGGGATTTCCTTTTCCTTTTCCTTTCCCGTCTTTTTACGTCTTTCTCACCGATTTTTGCCATGATTTTTCGAGTCTCAAGACTGGACTTTGACACAAGATTGGCTAGGGATTTTTATCGGGAAAAAGGAAATGAAATGGAAAGATCAGAGCTGAAAAATTTGTTGCAATTTGTTGCAAATTGAAAGCCAAATTGAATGCAAATAGCCAAATTGAAATTTCACACAAATTGATTGTGTGAAAGTTTTAAAAGATAACAATTTACAAACTAGTAATCAAGAATTTCTTTCTAGTTCTGTTTCTAGTTCTGTTTCTAATTCTGTTTCTAGTTCTGGTTTCTAGTTCTGTTTCTATTTCTGGTTTCTAGTTCTGTTTCTAGTTCTGTTTCTAGTTCTGTTTCTAGTCCTGTTTCTAGTTCTGTTTCTAGTTCTGGTTCTAGTTCTGTTTCTAGTTCTGTTTCTAATTCTGTTTCTAGTTCTGTTTCTAGGTCTAGTTTCTAGTTCTGTTTCTAGTTCTGTTTCTAGTTCTGTTTCTAATTCTGGTTCTAGTTCTGTTTCTAGTTCTGTTTCTAATTCTGTTTCTAGTTCTGTTTCTAGGTCGAGTTTCTAGTTCTGTTTCTAGTTCTGTTTCTAGTTCTGTTTCTAGTTCTGTTTCTAATTCTGTTTCTAGTTCTGTTTCTAGTTCTGTTTCTAATTCTGTTTCTAGTTCTGTTTCTAGGTCGAGTTTCTAGTTCTGTTTCTAGTTCTGTTTCTAGTTCTGTTTCTAATTCTGTTTCTAGTTCTGGTTTCTAGTTCTAGAATGTTTAAAAACTTTGATGGATGAAGAGTTTCCTATTTATCCATCTATTGGGTTGTCCAGTTAGGAATGCGCGTTTTTTACTATTTTGTAAATTTCTCAAGATAGAGAAATCAAGAAAAAGATATATATGAGTATTATTCGAAAGCTGAAGATCTCCTCTACATTTTGATATAAAAAGTTTTTGAATTTGTTCAGCTTTTGGGCAAATCGACTGCACAGAAGAAAACGAAATGGTTGAATAAAGTTGAAACTCGAATATTCGAAAAAATTCATTGAATCCAGTGACTTGAATCTTTTTCGCAATTCTCTTTTGTGCGTTTCGTTTGAATGTTATTGCAAAATGCAAAAACGAGGTCAATAGAGCACACAACGAGTCGATCCTCTTGTTGTCCACTCTCTTGTTGAATTGGAAAAATTGGGCAGTAAAAAAAACACGTTCTCTCACAGTTGTACAATTTTTGAAAGAGATTCAGAGAAAAAGAGGAGGAAATTTTGAAGGGAAGTCCTTAAAAGTGCAAAGTTATTTGCTGAGTTTTGAAATTTTTGGAATTGATTACCGAATTCGAATTGCCTAGTGCTTTTTTGGAGACTTTTTAAACGTAAACGTAAACGAATTCCTTCTAGTTCACTAATTTATGAGAAAAACATTTTTATGAGCTCATTATTAAATCTTGAAAGTCGGCTTGAAGCCGTTTTACTTTGAGCCGTTTTACTTTGAGCCGTTTTACTTTGAGCCGTTTTACTTTGAGCCGTTTTACTTTGAGCCGTTTTACTTTGAGCCGTTTTACTTTGAGCCGTTTTACTTTGAGCCGTTTTACTTTGAGCTGTTGAAGCCGTTTTACTTTGAGCCGTCGAAGCCGTTTTACTTGAAGCCGTTTTACTTTGAGCCGTTTTACTTGAAGCCGTTTTACTTCTGCAAAAACTAGAAACAAGTTCGAGATCCCATGGCCGACTCTAGAAGATGGACTTGGTCTCAAGTCAAAAAAAACCAGCTTGACTCGGTGCACAAAGCAAAAGGAAAAAAGCAAAAAAGTAATTAGGTGAGCAATCAGGAACTAGTCAAAAAAGAACGAGTTTCAAAGTACTCAGCTTCAGACTAAGCAAACATCTCACAATTGATGTTCACTATGCAAAACAAGTGAAGAAAGTTAGGTGAAATGAAGGCAGAATCAGTCTTGCTTGACCAGTCTTGCTTGACCAGTCTTGCATGACCAGTCTGGCTTGATCAGTCTTGCATGACCAGTCTGGCTTGATCAGTCTGGCTTGATCAGTCTGGCTTGATCAGTCTGGCTTGATCAGTCTGGCTTGATCAGTCTGGCTTGATCAGTCTGGCTTGATCAGTCTGGCTTCAGCTTCGCCTCCACGGCCAACCATTGCCCAAATCCGAAAGTAAAATATATCAAAAATTACTTTTAGTTTCTGAAAAACAAAAAAGCTTTTTTGTTATCACGTCTTAGGAAAAAGTTATAACCGAAAAATCACCGTTTTAGAACATAAAAGAACATTCATCTCTAATCTTAGCATTGACCGAGATATTAAGGGATCTTTTATAGCCTTTTTTGACCACTATAGCATTTGTAACAATCCAGAATTATCTAAAAACTAGAATAGTAGAAAATTGAGGCCAAAAATGGGAAAAGATCGATGGAAATGGAGGGAAAGGAGAGAGAAAAACGAGAAATGAAAGAAATCCCATGTGTTTTCTTTTCCCTTTCCTCCATTTCGATCCTCTCTTTTCTCCAAAAAGAGGAAGGAAAAAGCACACGGAAGTTCCTTATTGCAGACCGATTTTTTTTTATGAAAAACACATCGAAAAATGATTAACTTTTTTCTTCATTCTGAAAATTATTGTTGGTAGAATGAACAACTAGTGAAAAACAGAAAACACTAGTGAAAAACAGAACTTATAAAAATCAAAGACTTGCCAAAACATAGCTTTAATAGTGCCATTTCTAACCGAGAAAGAAATCGAGAAAGTTACCAAGAAAAAATCAAAATCAAAAATCAAATCAAGAAATTAACCAAGAAATCATTTTTCAACTTCTTCGACCTTTTTGAAATTTTCGTAAAAGCTTTGTAATGAAAATGCTTCTTTAAAATACTGTATTCAAGCAGGATACCGTATTTTCTCTAATAGTAGTGCAGCCAGCCGAGTTGGCGACTATTTTACGGTTTCCAAGTTTCGCAGAAGAAGCAGAAGCTTTCGCAGAAGCTCAACACTCTGATCCTCCACAAGATCTCATAGTCAGCTACATTTTCCGACCCCACATCGATAGGTTCTGATAAGCGGTTCTCGAGATTTCGAGGAATTTAGGCGAAGCTTTGGGTGCACTACTACAGAGAGAATATTAGAGAGAATACGGCACTCATACTCACTCTGGAGGGTGTAGCTCAGTCAAAAGATCACCGATTACCATAAAAATTTTACAGGTAAATTTTGACTGGGCCTCCTGTAGCGGTACCCATTATCTAACCGATAGGGGCTCACAAATTTCTAAAACAAGCTCCCAAAGTTGAGAGTCGCACTTAGCCTAGTTAGACTAGTTGTGGCGTTTTCGAAAAACGAGCCGCTTACTGCTTACTGAGAAGAGCTATCAATATACCGTATTCTCTTTAATACAGTGCGGAGCAAAACCATACGCCACCCCCTAAATTTCAATTTTCTGCGGCTTCCGTGCCACTAACAAAAAAACTGAAAACGTAGTTAGATTCAGGACCAAAAATAACCCTTAAACCCCAAAAATCATCGACATAGCATGAGTAGAGAAAATGTACCAGCCAAAAAAACGAAAATTCACCCGGTGCAAAACCATACGCCACCCCCCAAATTTTGGTGTTATTTCATGCTTTTTTTCTAGTTTAAAAGCTAAATCTGCCTCTGGCAAACATAAGTCCCGCCCTTTCACTTCAGATTCCTTATAAGGAGGCTTAAAGAGCTTACTTTGTCTTACTTCAACTTCAAAAACACAATGCCGAAAGCAACTCAACTCTCTGACGGGGAGCAGGCTCAACTCGATCTCATGCAGCAACTTGGATTGTCAATTTCCGAGATGAGTCATCGAACCAATCGCTCAAGAGACTGCATCAACCGTTACCTCAAAGCTCCACTCAAATATGGTACTTCAAATGCGCATGGTCGTCACAAGAAGCTCTCCAAACGGGCCGAACGCCATATCAGAAACAAAGCCTCAAACTCTACGAGATCGGCAAATGAAATCAAGCGTGATTTGCAACTTCCAGTGTCAAAGTGGACTGTTCAGAGAACCATCAACTCTTCGCCACATCTCACACGTCAGGTGATGAAGCCAGCACCTTGCTTAACTGTCATCCACAAACAGAACAGGTTGCTCTTTGCTCGCGCAAACATGGCAACTGACTGGAATCAGGTATTTAAACTTAGAAAACAAATTTTTATTGGTTTCAGATCATCTACACAGACGAGAAAAAGTTCAACCTGGATGGGCCTGATGGTGGACACTCTTATTGGCGTGACTTGCGCAAGAATCCATTACTGTTCTCAAAGCGAAACTTCGGCGGGGGTTCGGTGATGTGTTGGGGCGCCTTCTCATCTCATGGAAAACTGGAAATCGTCTTTGTCACGTCCAAGATGAACTCACTAGATTACATCGATGTGCTCGAGGTCAACCTTCTTCCATATCTGCAAAGTCTTCCACAACATCAACTCACCCTACAGCAAGACAACGCCAGCATCCACGTCAGCCGAGCAACCAAGTCATGGCTTCAGTCAAAACAAGTGCCTCTTCTGGATTGGCCTGCGTGCTCCCCGATCTCAACCCCATTGAGAATCTGTGGGGAATGCTTGCTCGTCGAGTTTATCACAATTCCACACAATACGCAAATGTTCAAGCACTCAAAGATGCCATTATCCGCGAGTGGAATGCTATTCCAAGAAGCACCATCAAGAAGCTAGTTGACAGCATGCCGAGTCGAATATTTGACGTGATCAGTCGCCAGGGACAAGCAACAAAATATTAGACTGTTATTGTTATAAATAAACCTTGTTATCATAAAAATTGAATAAAACTGCAACAACGACACCAAAATTTGGGGGGTGGCGTATGGTTTTGCACCGGGTGAATTTTCGTTTTTTGGCTGTTACATTTTCCCTATTCATGCTATGTCGACGATTTTTGGGGTTTAAGGGTTATTTTTGGTCCTGAATCTAACTACGTTTTCAGTTTTTTTGTCACTGGCACGGAAGCCGCAGAAAATTGAAATTTAGGGGGTGGCATATGGTTTTGCTCCGCACTGTAGTAGTGCACCCAGCCGAGTTGATGACTATTTTACGGTTTCCAAGTTTTCGCAGAAGCTCAACTCTCAAATCCCTAAAAGGATCTCATCGTCAGCTACATTTTCCGACCTCACATCGTCACATCCGACCCACATTCACATCCGATCTCACACCTCACAATAGGTTCTGATAAGCGGTTTTCGAGATTTCGAGTAATTTAGGCAAAGCTTACGGTACGCTACTATTAGGGAAAATACAGTAAACGGCGATTGATGAATAGATTTCTGTAAATAAATGTAAGAATCTTTGGGGTAAGAATCTTTGGGGTAAGAATCTTTGGGGTAAGAATCTTTGGGGTAAGAATCTTTGGGATAAGAATCTTTGGGGTAAGAATCTTTGGGGTAAGAATCTTTGGGGAAATCTTAAGACTTTATCCAAGTCTTAAGCGTAAAATAATCGGGTTTTTACTGAAAATTAAAATGGTTTAAATATTGTGATTTCAATTTTTTCGTTTTCATTTATTTCTTTTTGTACAACTTTTAAACGCACAACCTTTTTTATAAGAATTTTTTCTTCAACTTTCTTGCAATTCTTGCAATGATCTGAAAAATGCGCGCTTTCATACTATAGCACAGTTTTCGAAGAACGTTTATCTTTTTGAATCTTTTTTTGAATTCCAAAACAGAACTAAAGCTTTCCTTTTCACTTTGATTGCTTAAACATTGAATTTCAATTTCGTTTTCAATTCCCAAATGCTTTCATCATCAGAAAACTTCTCAAAAACTTCTCAAAAAGAGACAAAACAAATGAAACAATACAATTTTTTGTTTTGTTTTTTTGAAGGCAATGAAAGGAAATTGAAATAAGCTTTTAAACGCTTTTAAACGCTTTTAAACCCTTTTAAACGCTTTTAAAACATTACAAAACCTTTTACAAAAGCAAACGCATATGAAGATTTCGATTTTCGCATTTTCGATATGAAGGAATTGCTCTTCGTGTGGTAATTTGATTCGTCTCAACTTCTACCCGATTTTCAGCTTTTTTTTCTCCAATATCGGATTGGCTAAATGTGAAAATGGTCGTGAGGATGTGTATTTGAAGTTTTTGACGAATTTCATCGATAAACAAGTCGATCCATGCGAGAATTTCTTTCGACATGTAACGAAAATTTGAAACATTTATTTGCTAAAGACTACAAATTGAAAAGTGCTTGAAAGTGCTTGAAAAGTTCACTTTCTAAGCTCACTAGATATTTTCTAGTAAGAATCTTTAACTTATCTGCTTTCCCAGTGGGTTAACTTAAAGCTTTGAACTTTACAAAATCAAAACCAATCATAAATATTAGGTTGTCCGGAAATAAATGAGCGTTTTGTATTGTTTATTATTTGGGTGCATTTTTGGGTACATTTTTCTCAATAAAGTATGCTCTGTCTTTTGTAATTTTATCTACAATTAGAAAGCTGAGTTCGTGCTCTCTTTAACCATACTTTTAAATTTTGTTAAATTTTAGGTTTTAAACCATACCAAAATTAACTCAAAATGTAATATCCACACAAAGTTGCTGGCTAAAAATTTAAACCCCACCCATTATAGGCGGGACTTAACCTTTTGCCTCATAAATTTGCATGAATATTACATTTTAAAGGGGGGAGTATTAATCGCGACCGAGTAACCATAAAAAAATTTTTTACGGCAACCACCTGTTTTTTTATTTTAATATTGCTGATTTTATTATAAAAAGAATAAAAATCACCCGACTAGAGTGATTTGATGGGTTTACAAATTTTTGGAGACGCTGCAAGGCTCGCGTAGTTCATCTAAAAGGTAAACTGCTGTACTTGAGCGAAGATGAAAGTGAGCAAGAGGAAGAATTATAGATTAACAACTTATTTTTATTACCGTAGTCAAACCTCCAATTTTCATTCAGTTATCCCAATTTTTGTATCATTCGATGAGGAATCAAAAGGCTCAATCAATGATACCAAAATCTGGCTGATCGAATGTAAACTAAAGGTTTGACTACGGTAGTTTTCTCAAATCGGTGCCTTTTAGAAAAAGCATTACTCGAGAGGAACACACTCTAATAGATAGCTTAGAAAAAGGCAGCTAGAGATGTTAAAAACCAAAAGTGTAGATCAAAAGTCTTTTTTGAGTCTTGTTCTTTTCCTTGTTCCACAACATCAAAAAAATGATAAAACAAAAAAAAACGAGAAAAACGAAGGAAAATCGCGAAATCGGAAAATCGGCTATTGATCTGAGGGTCGCTGGTTCGACTTCCACCGATGACAATATTTTTCAAAAATTTTTTGCTAAGATTCTGAAAATGCGTGTCTAGGGGTTATTTTTGACGCTGATCACGAAACACATGTTTTTAGCCTAGGTTTCTTCACGGAAAACTAACGAAACGTGAAAACAGCTATTTTTTGGCTCTGCCGCCCTTTACTAAAATAGCTGTAAAAGCTTTTAGAAAAGAGATATCTCAAAACGGTTTTTACCAATCGATCCGTCTTAAATTCAGCTTTAGGATGAGCTATAAAACGTCAAAATTGGACAAATTTAAGGTACTCTCCCAAAAAATCCGAAAGGACTTTTCCACCAACCCAATAGATGAACTACGCGAGCCTTGCAGCGTCTCCAAAAATTTGTAAACCCATCAAATCACTCTAGCCGGGTGATTTTTATTCTTTTTATAATAAAATCAGCGAGATTAAAATAAAAAACAGGTGGTTGACGTAAAAAAATATTTTTATCGTCACCCCGGCCCCGATTAATACCCCTTTAGCCATACTTTTAAATTTTGTTTCGAATTTTCGCCGTCTTAGATGTCCGAAACTGAACTTTCGCCAGATTTTCTTTTATGAGTTCAAACTCGGTCGCAATGCAGCTGAAACGGCTCGTAACATTAACAAAGTTTGGGGCCAGCTACCGGCATACATAAACTTGCTTCTCGTTGGCAAAAATGTGCTAATTGTAATGGTTTTTATTTTGATTAATAAAGTTTTGTTTGGATCAATTTATGGGATTTGAAATATTCGAGTTGAAAACGCTCATTTATTTCCGGAAAACCTAATACTTTAATAAAAAGCCTCGTATTAGAAAACTTCTTTTTAGAAAATCATTTTTACTCAGCTCCTAGATTTTTCTTAACTACTTTTAGTACCAAAAAATACTAGATTTCAAGAGTTATCGTTTGACACCTAAGCGCAAACTGTAGCTTAAAGCAGCGCCGAGAAAGAGACGTTCAAAGTTAGACTACGCGACTGTACGCTCGTCATTATCGTATGGCGTTCTATTAGAGTATTTAATTGTCTATTAGAGATAGATGAATTGTCTGATACATGAAAGAAATCAATTAAAAGTTAATATCTAAAAGAAACTCTGGAAATGTTAAAACAAAGTTTTTTCAGGTGTGCCCGAAAACGATCAAATCCTCAGAGTTACCTACGAATAACGCTTTCACGGCCGAAGAGAAGGCACAAATTCAACGAAAAATGATGCCAGCTGGAAAAATTGAGGTTTAATTGCAATTAGAAGTGAAAACATTTCCCCTTTCTCTTTCTTGTTCAATCATAATGTTCAATTCAATCATTCGATCGGCGATTTATTTGGATGTGTAGTTGGACGATCGCCTCTAACTCATTCCAACACGAGTAGACGTTCCGATCTGAAAAAATAATAGATTAGAGAATAGATTAGATTAAACTTTATCAACTAACGTAATCATAGCACAGTTTAATGATTTTGCTTACCAACCTGAATTTCTCGCAAAGACTCCACACAACATCAGATTCATCTGCACTCAACGGGCATCTTCTCATCTAAAGATGGGCTAAAGATGGACTTATTAAGACAAGACTGAATAACGAAGTAGTCAAAAATTTGAAAATCTATATCATCATTTTTCTTTAGTACTGAAAAGCTTTACATGAGCTATGTATCGGTAAAAATACAGGAAATCTATGAAAGGAAAGCACTTTACACATCGGCGTGAAAATGCGTTTTCTATCGGATTTTTCCGGGAGTACCTTTTTTAGATGCAGAAAATTGTGCTGATTCCGAATCTGAAGGAATTTTTCAAATCCCCTTGACAGAAATTTTTTAAATTGAGTTTTAGCGCTTTTTTGGTCATTTTGTATGGGAAATTTTGTGGTACCCTGCAGTTTGGGGCTCGTAACTCGACAAGCAGGGTCTAGAACAAAAAACGAGGGGATAATTTTTATTCTAGAGACTCTCACGAACATTTTGATACAAAAATCATCAAATGTTTTTAGTGTATTTTGCAAAATTTCTTTAAAGATGTTATAACTTTTTGTAGAGTCGAGCAAATTTGATGATTTTTGTATCAAAATGTTCGTGAGAGTCTCTAGAATAAAAATTATCCCCTCGTTTTTTGTTCTAGACCCTGATTGTCGAGTTACGAGCCCCAAACTGCAGGGTACCACAAAATTTCCCATACAAAATGACCAAAAAAGCGCTAAAACTCAATTTAAAAAATTTCTGTCAAGGGGATTTGAAAAATTCCTTCAGATTCGGAATCAGCACAATTTTCTGCATCTAAAAAAGGTACTCCCGGAAAAATCCGATAGAAAACGCATTTTTGCCTTATTTCGCGCCGATGTGCTTTACCACATTTCTTCAACCCTTTCAATTCTTTAATCATTTTATCGAAACAAACTTGGCATTCATGTTTCTGTGAGAGTTTAAAAAGGATATCGAAAGATAAAAAAAGTAGAAAAATTGGATAAAATTAGAGACAAGATTAGAGACAAGATTATGGTGGAAAGAGAAAGGGAAACGAAACGAATTTTTTGAATTTTGAAACTCTACACTTTACAGTTCATTTCAGATGTTTTTGTTCAGAAAAAATCCAAACAAAATCCAAAACTGATTCAATTTTCAGAAATTCCTTGCATCGATCATCTTGCATGGGAGAGAGTCGGATAATCCTAGCCTTGCAAACAATGTAAGGAAAAAAAAGATTTATGGAGATTTTCTTTTAATTTAAGGCCACAGAAGTCTTAATTTTTGTGGCCGGAGTTCGTCTCCGACCGGCTTTATTGGAAGTGATTGAGGGAAATGAGATCTTGACAAAAGACGATTATGTGGCTGCGAAATTGGAAATGAGGGAAATGCTCGATGTGTTGATTGAACAGATCTGGGTTTGAAAGTTTGAGACGTTAAAGGGGTGAGGTTTGGAAGGTTGAAACGTTAAAGAGGTGAGGTTTGAAAGTTTGAGACGTTAAAGGGGTGAGGTTTGGAAGGTTGAAACGTTAAAGAGGTGAGGTTTGGAAGTTTGAGACGTTAAAGGGGTGAGGTTTGGAAGGTTGAAACGTTAAAGAGGTGAGGTTTGGAAGTTTGAGACGTTAAAGAGGTAAGGTTTGGAAGGTTGAGATGTTAAAGAGGTGTGGTTTGGAAGGTTGAGACGTTAAAGAAGTGGGGTTTGGAAGGTTGAGACGTTAAAGGGGGTGAGGTTTGGAAGTTTCGAACGTTAAAGAGGTGAGGTTTGGAAGTTTGAGATGTTAAAGAAGTGGGTTTAGAAGGTTGAGACGTTAAAGAAGTAAGTTTTGAAAGTTTGATATGCTGAGACGTCAAAAAAAAGTGAAATTTGCCTAAAATAGCCTAAAGAAATGCCAGTAATGTCAGGTTGTTGGTTTAAAAAGGCAAGTTTCAAAGTTTTAAAGATGAAATTAAAAACTCGATTGCTAATCTAGGGATGGATAGCCCTTCCTGCTAATATTCCTTTTAAATCCGGTACTTTTTTAGAAAACCCCATCGGTGACAGATGAAACGATGAAATTTTACGAAAAGTATGCACAAAATATGCTCATTTTGACCGGTGCATCGAATGAAAACAGGCACTTCAACTTCACGAAACTCTATGAAACATTGGAAAACTATCTGAAAGTTTTACTTGAAAAGGCACAGTGAGTTAGATATGCAATTCTTTTAGCTAAATCTTTTAAAGATTCTGTACCAAGATCCCGACCAAGATCTTCTAAAGTACCAAGATCCCGACGTTTATGAATACTGTACTCGGTCATTGCCATAAACCGACGGGATTACCGGTCATAATATCCGTGAAGGAGAACATAATTTCCGGGACGCTATTTAGCAACACGTCAACTAAAATCACAAAAGAAATAGCTCAAAAAGTTCTTTTTGGTTTACAACGTGTTCTACTACAACTACTACTAAAATAGTCTTCAAAAAAATGCGAAACTGCGTCTTTCTGGTGTGTCTCGAATTCAGGCTTCTTGAAAAGGCTGGAAAACTTTCTGATCGGATTAATTTACTTATAGAGATGTTCATCAGAATTTCAGCTTCAAAATACAAAAAAACACGAGGAATTTTGTTTTAGCTTTCATTTAGAAAATGAATCATTTACAAGTGTGCGGAGAACTTTTTGATCACCCTGTACGCCTTAAACCAAACAAGTTCCTAAGGGATTACCCAAGGGGATGGTCCCTTCAATAACACTTCAATAACAATTCTCGAAAAGGACTCAGCAAAGGTCAAATGCCAATTTCAACCCCAAAGCCAGATTATCATGGGCACAAAGTGATGTTGTCTTGCTGGTGGAAATATTGGGTTGGTGAATTGAAAACTGCGGGACTTTGAACTAAAATTTATTGAACATAAAACCATCAATTCATTCCAAATAATTTCCATTATTATTGACGACTTCTGCCCATTTTACAGGCAATTTGCGGATTCCTCTTTCGTAGTAGGATTTTGGTTTGTGTGTGAGACAAGTGTGAGACTCAAAAATGGAGGACTGGAGATGTCCCAGTTTGAGCATTTGAGCACTTTCTTCAAAAGAAACCCATTTTGGTGTCAATGGAAAAGTTGTAGAGAGTCAAAAACTAGGCTTATATCCAAATTTTCAGAACGATTCAAAAACTGGTCTTCAAGAAATGCCAAATTTACGAATTTTCACAAAACTTGCATTTTAAGCGAAACTACCAAGTGTATCTTTTTGGAAATTTGGCTATAAGCCTAATTTTTGATTCTCTACAACTTTTCCATTGACACCAAAATGGGTTTCTTTTGAAGAAAGTGCTCAAACTGTCACATATGACAATAGCCCGCAGTTTTCAATTCACCAATCCAATAAATGATTCAAGCTCTAGCATTGGCCAGTTGTTTGTGTTTTTGAATGATTTCTGAAATTTGATGGGCTTTAAATAGGTTTTCAATGTTACTTTCTTCCCCCTTTACAAATCTCTCTTTTTTTCCATTTACATTTTGCAGAGGTAATTAATTTTTGAGGAAATTGTGCCCGGTAATGTACCGGTGAGCTTACCGTATACTAGACATGGGAAAATTCCAACCCGAAGCTATATTTTCAATCTTCAGCCAACAATTCTTCTTTGCTGATGACGAGCATTTATTTGTTTTTCAACAATTAAACGATCACCTCACACTCTGGCGTTACTTCAATCCGGTGGGTTTTAAAGCGATTGAATATCCGTAATTGAATATCCGTAACTGAATATCCGTAACTGAATATCCGTAACTGAATATCCGTAATTGAATATCCGTTTGTATCAATCATCAATCCTTTCTAGAACTTTTTTGATTCAATCATGATGGGCGACAGTTTTAACGCTTTCGCCAACCCGAGCATGGAAACGTTGATGATCGCTGAGGCACCGTTGATCATCGGAAAGGGGACAACACTCGCGGCAAGGGTTTGGCTTTAACACGTTCGGGACGATTCGGTCCACCGGTGGACGAAGGCCGTCTGGCCCCTGGGACGATTCGGTCCACCGGTGGACGAAGGCCGTCTGGCCCCTGGGACGGTTCGGTCCATCGGTGGACGAAGGCCGTCTGGCCCCTGGGACGGTTCGGTCCATCGGTGGACGAAATTGTGGCCCACCGGATGAAACCCCTTCCGCCCCAGAGACAGACGCTCTACCGACTGCGCTATAGAAGACCTCTATTGCGCGTATCCCAGTAAAACGACCTTTGGATAAAGTCTTATCAAAAAATGATGTTGATATGAAATGTTCATCTAGCTGAGCTCCATCCAATAAAACAAAAATCGTGGAAAACAGACCATTGGAGAAAGAGAAATGCGGCGTTTTGTCTCACGAGCCAAAAAGAGCCGATATCTTTTCGAGGCAGCAATATTTTCAAAATCTGATTAGAGATTCGGATTCAGCATGAAATTTTACAGCTAGGAGGTGTATTTCGGGGCTAATAGCTTTGCGAGACCTCGTCCTAATAGCTCGTCCACTGGGACAGTAACGCAAAAATGTCGCGTCGCGTCGCGAATGTGTTAAATGTAATTTGCTTTCGTTTTTAAACTTCTGTGTTAAACTTCTGTGTTGAACTTCTCTGTTATCTTTTGCTCAAATTACTAAAAAAAAATCTAGTATGGTGGCGTTGGCGGTGTGTATGGACACGAAATGATGCACGATGTCATTCAAGAGTACGGAAGTGATACAGATAAAAAGGTTTTTGTTAATTAGTCCAGGCTGGTCCATAATTATAGGTACAGATAAAAAGCTTTGTAAATAGAAAAAATTAAACTTTATAGAGCAAACTTTTCTTTTAAAGGCTTTATTTGATAGCAATGGACAACAAATTCACAATTAAATTTAAAGCGATCACCATTTTTAGCCAAGCACGCTGTCAAGCCTTTAGGAAAGGCGTCCATGACGTCCATGACGTCCATGACGATCATGTAAACATAATCCAGTTCATCCCAGACTTTCAGAAGACTTTTCTTCAAAATGCCAACATTTTTATGCGGTTTTGAGCCGGATGGATGGACCAGAGTCCTCAAGGATGGACCAGAGTCCTCAAGGATGGACCAAAGTCCTCAATGATGGACCAGAGTCCTCAAGGATGGACCAGAGTCCTCAAGGATGGACCAGAGTCCTCAAGGATGGACCAGAGTCCTCAAGGATGGACCAAAGTCCTCAAGGATGGACCAGAAAGAATAATCCATTGGATTGAGATCCGGCTAGCTGGATGGCCATTTAAAAAAGAAATCGAGAAACTTCACTTTTCAAAAATCTTGCACTTTCTTGGCTTTGCGGGCCGGAGCCCGGTTGGAATTTCCAAATTTGATTTTTGAAATGCAATATTTAGGCTTTACGGAAATCTAGATAGTTAATAGTAATAGATAACAAGCCTAGCAACTATAGTTATGATCCACTCTAGAAAGTTCGAGGTTTGCGTTCGAAAAGTCGGAAAGTTGAGCATTCATGTTTGTAAAGTTCGGGTTCTGTTTCCTTTTCATTAAATTTTGAGAAGTTTTGAATGGGAAAAGAACCCGAAATTTACAAGCATGAACGCTGAAATTTCCGACTTTTCGACCTGAATCCGAAATTTCTCGGTGAAAAAACATTCTCGAAGAACTTTCTCAGTAAACTTTCCAAAAACCGAATGCTAAACGAAAAGCCAAACACTGAAAACTGAACGTCGGATCTTTATAACATGTCTGCCATGACCGACTGGTTAAGAGCTCTGTATCGACAGGCTAAAAGCTCTGTATCGACAGGCTAAGAGCTCTGTATCTCGGGATGAGCTCGGGAGCTCAAGGATTCAATCTCGCTGACTCGCTGGCATGTCAAAATTTCATTTTCATTTTTGTGCTCAGTGCAAAATTTCAGCTTTGAGGAGATCAAGATAGTTAACAATAATAGATAATAAGCCTATAATTATGGGTCACCCGGAATATTGTGGCCTACTCTATTCAACAACTAAAATGATTTAGGTGAAAGAAAATCACGACTGTCTGATCGGGTTCGCGCAACAAGTTTGCGGGGAATACGTGGATGAGGAATGGAAACACGAAGAAGAGGTATTAAATGAGAAAAAAAACCCCTGACTCTCAATCAGTTAGCTTGAAATTTTGACATTAAAACCGCAGCTCCTAGTGCATTTGAAGTCCACGAAATCTCACCAAATTTCAGTGCATTCCAGTGAAACGAGGGAAAATCTGCAGTTGCAAGGCCGCGTTTTCGATGGCAACCTTTTTCGGTTGGTGAAATAGTAAAAAAACTTTTGAAATTCTGTTTGAATGCCAATCTTTATCAAAAACTCTTTAGCTTAAAACAAAAGGATAGGATTAAAAAGGCTTTTTGAAGGATTTTTCAATTGAAAACAGATTCAAATAGGTGAGCGCCATGACAGTTTGCCCTCAGCGCTCATGAATCGAATTCTAAAACTAATCTAATTTTTCCCCGTTTCAGAGTTCGTCGCCGATCAAGAAGGTATGCAATTGGCGTTTTTGGCGCTGCAGAAAAGGCTGTCGGAAACGGAGATGAAGGTAGGAAATAGAAAATTGGATTAGTTATCTAAAGAATTTGAAAAATAAAAACATAAATTCTAATTATAAGCTAAATTTCTTCTAGAAAGCATTTGGGGAAACTAGGAAATCAAAATTTTGGCTTATTCATTCAGTTTGAAACTTCTTGTGCAGTGTGTGAGAGAATACCGATAGGGACGATGATTATTAGATATTTATTCTGAATCTAGCAAGAAAATACAATAAAATAGAATCAATCGTTGGTTCAGTGTTTCATAGCGATACGAAAAAGGAATACGAAAGGGAATATACGGAAAGAATATGAAAAGGCCTAATGTAAAGTGGGCTCCGTCCCTTTTATCCGTCCCTTTATCTTAAAAGCGATCTTTCAAAGGCGGGACAAGAAAATCAGACATTCAAATCAAAACATTAAATAAGATTTCACAGAAAAGAACCACTTTTCTGCACACTTCTCAACTAAAGAAGTTTTGGTTTAAAATTGAAGCTAAGCCTAAGCTAGAAAGGGAACATAAAGCCATAAAGCCATTTAGATTTCAGATTTGATTTTCTTTTGATTTTGAGGATTTCAGAAGCCCACCTATCCAACGATTCCCTCATTGAAACACATTTCAAACGAACAGCTCTTCTTCTACGCCTACGCTGCGTCGTATTGTGAAACGGATGAAGATTCTCAGTATACTGGTAAGCAAAATTCTCAGTATACTAGTAAGCAAATAGATTTAATTAGCTTTATCAGTCGGTTTACTCTAAATTTTTAGCCGAAGATGAGCATCCGGCAGCTTATGTCCGTATCAACACGGCCCTTTCACTCTCCAATGCTTTCATGAAAAGTTTCAATTGCTCAAAAGATTCGCGAATGTTCAAGTTACAAGTAATTCAACTGTAAAACAAGAGTAAAAGAATCAAAAAGAATAAAATAAACAGAATAAAAGGGATAAATTTACTAAGTTTTAGCAACTAGTAAATAGAGTTTGTAGACTAGATTTTAACGTGATTACCTATTACCGTGATTACCGTGATTAAGGTAATTACCTACCGTAAATACTGTAATAGTACCCCACCCCTATAATGACGGTGGGGAGTGTTGTGTAGTCTAGCTTTGAACGAGTTTTTCTCGACACTGGTTTATGCTACAGTGCGCGCTTAAGTATCAAAAAATAGCTGAAATTCAGGGCTATTTTTTGATACTTAAGCCCGCATTGTAGCATAAACCAGTGTCGAGAAAACTCGTTCAAAGCTAGACTACGCAACACTCCGCACCGTCATTATGGGGGGGGGTACTATTACAGTATTTACGGTAGTTAAGTTACATTACAGTATTTACGATAATTGCCTATATTTTAAAGTTTTTTTTTGCTAAAAAAACTGCTTAGTTAATTCAAATGCTTTTTTTTCAAATTAGATTCTCAAAAGTACAATACAAGTATCCTTGTCAATCTTTAAAAACAAAATTTGCAAGTTCAGAAGATGAAAGAAACGCGATGCAATCAAATCGGCGAGCCGGTGAGACGAAAAATGAAAACTTGGAGTAATTGAAAAGTGAACTGAAAATGAATAAATGAGCTGTTATTCGGTTTTGTTTTGAATTTTGTCGACTTTGGGTCCGTTATGATTCAAGTCCAGCTTCACGTTGGCTCAAACGGATCAAATTTGTCACTCTTGAAATCACTCTTGTTGAAAAAAGAGCTTGAAATGTGTTCTTTTGTAAAAATCTATTTGTAAAGACTTGTTGTAAAGTCATTGCATTTTATGAGGAATATTTGATTGATTTATTTGATTTATTAGAATTAATACAACACAATTTATTGGAAGATAGAAAGATCAGCAAATTTGATGATTTGAATTTGATCTGATCAGCAAATTCAAGTGGCGAAGGCTCAGGCTCAGGCTTATGTAACAGGGTTACATTTCGAAAATCGTCTAATTTTGAAACCTTTTTAATAGATTACCCTAAAGTCGCGAGTATAAGTTGATCCGAGTATAAGTTCTGCCTTAATTTACATACGCTTTAATTGCTTTGAATTTCTTTTTGTTGGGTTTTTCTACATTTTTATTGTTATATAAACTTTTATTATTGTTCTTGGAGGGATACTACAGGGTGACAGCCTATCACCATTGCTATTTGTTATGTGCATGGATACATCCAGACGATAGTGTTGAAGAAGACGCTTGAAAGGCATCTCTTTCGACCGTCGACGTGAACTTTGGCCGGATGAAGAGGCCAGGGAGGGATCCATAAGACTGAGCAAGCAAGCACCGGAGAGGAGCAGGGCGGACGCGCCGAGCCACGCCCGGAGCAACAAATAACAGCATAAAATTGCTATAACCCTCAATAAATTTACTTCTATTATTGTTCTTAAATAGCAAAAAAGTTATGCTTATGCAAAAAGTTAGGCAAAAAAGTTATGCGGGGTTCGAACCCTCGGCACACCGCACCGGAGACAGCCGTCAATTTGCATGCGAAAACCAAACAGAACTTATACTCGCGACTTTAGGGTAATGTTTTTGCATTAGAATCACTAAATTACTAAACAAATTATCGTTTTTACATAATTTTCTTTAAAAATGAAGAAAAAATGCATTTATTTTGTCATTTTGATAGGGTGATCAAAAACCAGTGTCCCGCCTTCACAGGAATCGGCTCTCTACGATCGATTAGAGATTGATAATCTCACAATCGGATTGACGAATTAGAGAAGACGTACTGGAGATAGTGGATATCAAATGACCTTTCCTTTTATTACTAAAGGATAAATTGGATCTAATTGAAATCTCGCCGTATCTATTTTTCACAAGTGTCGAGGTGAAGCTTTGGAGCGTTTTATGCCTATTTTAATATGTTGAAATATTTAGGAAACGTGTTAAACTTTAACAGCTAAAGTTTCGTAAGCTCTTCAGCTATTGGTTAAACTTCTGAATTACAACAGCATCTAGTTACCGTATTTTCTCTAATAGTAGTGTACCCCAGCGAGCCGAGTTGATACCTATTTTACGGCTTCCAAAATTTTCACAGAGGCTCAACACTCTAGTCCCCCACAAGATCTCATCGTCAGCTGCATTTTCCGACCCCACATCGATAGGTTTACTATTTACTACCCGGAATTTACTCGAGTAATTACTTACTCGCGAGGAATACACTCTACACAAAACGTTTCAAACAAATCATTTGTCGAGCTTTTCCAAAGCATTTCGATTTTTTTTGGAGAAACTTTTAAACTAAACATTTCTTTTTTTAAAATATTATTAATTTCAAACAAAAGCTTTCATTTTTCAAAGCTAAGAAAAAGTTTTGAGATAAAGAATTCATCAAAATTTCATCCAAAAATAGCTTCCCAAAATGTCTCCGTCAACTCTGAATACTATTAGGTTGTCCAGTTATAAATGCGCGTTTTTAAGATAACAACTCTTTATTTTAAAACCAACAGTTTAACAGCTCAATCAACAATATATTCACCATTTGTTAACAATATTTGTTTCTATCTTCCATGCAAAGAATGAATTCCCTCCGCGTCAAAAATTGGCTTGTTTCGAGGCAAAGAAGTCGGCTATCCATTTTTCGACCTCTTAAACTTCTTTGAACTTGTTTCCGGCCAAATGGTTTCGCATTGAGCGAAATAAATGGCAATCCAAAGGAGAAATATCCGGAGAATATGGCGGATGCGGGAGAGTTTCCCAGCCCAACTCTTCGAGTTTTTCCTGAACAATCTTTGCAACGTGTGGACGGGCGTTATCTTGAATGAACTTTATGTTTGAAGGATCAAGGCCTTTTTGTAGCAATACATTGTTCACTCGTAAATAAGAAATCTTCAACAGCATATAAAGAATAGGGTTTGATAAAATTGTATAGCCCTAAGGTACGCTGTTCAAGGGCAGGTGCGCATTCATAACTGGACAACCTAATATTTAGTTATTTTTAAACAAAAAAAGCCATAAGTTTTATTTCATTTCAAATCATTTCATTCAAAAATGCTCAAACAATATGTTCTTTTGAGGTAAAAAGTTTTTAGAAACAAAAAAAACCAAAATTTAGCTTTTTATTATGCCATCTTGCTCAAGCTCAAGTACAAGTTGAGGCTCAAGCTCAAGCTCAAGCTCCAGTAGAGGTTGAAGCTCGAGCTCAAGCTCAAGTACAAGCGGAAGCTCAAGCGGAGGCATTTGCTGAAGTTGTTACCGTTCGCTTTCTTCCATTTCGCTTTCGCATTTGCGCGTGAGTGAGCATTGTAACGGTAATTTTGGCCCACCCTGTAGAATCGATTCGATTTCGATTTCAATTTAAAGGCTAATCTCGATTCAAAGGCCAAATTTTTAGATGACCAAATCGCATAACTGTTTGCAGAAATTTACTAGCCGAGTTTGTGATGAGTACTCGGCTGAAGAATGGACCCAAAACGAACAGGTAAAATGTTAGGAAGAAATGGAAAAGGTCAAAAAGCATAAAAACATAAAAACATAAAGAACATAAAAACTTCAAGAAAAGAAAAAAAGATTTTATGCTTTTGCAAAACGATATTCTTTACAGTGTGCAAAAAGACAAGACGGGCGCGACTTCTGCTCCTGCAAGATTGCTGTTCTGTCACACCTTTTAAACGGCAATTTATTCTTTTAAACGGCAATTTAAAGGAGTTTTAAAGGAACTAAATAGGAACTATAAAGGAACGATAAAGGGGCTTTAAAGGAGTCTGAAAGGAGCTTTAAAAGAGCTTTAAAGGAGCTTTAAAGGAGCTTTAAAGGAGTCTCACGACAAGTGTGAGACTCAAAAATCGAGAACTGGAGATCTCCAATGTCCCAGTTTGAGCACTTTCTACAAAAGAAACCCATTTTGGTGTCAATAGAAAAGTTGTAGAGAATCAAAAATTAGGCTAATAGCGAAATTTCCAAAAAGATACACTTAGTAGTTTCGCTTAAAATGCAAGTTTTGTGAAAATTCGTAAATTTGGCATTTCTTGAAAACCAGTTTTTGAATCGTTCTGAAAATTTGGATATAAGCTTGATTTTTGATTCTCTACAACTTTTCCATTGACACCAAAATGGGTTTCTTTTGAAGAAAGTGCTCAAACTGTCACATACAGTACTGGACAATGAAATATGATATTTGAAAAACGATCGTCACTTTCGCGCGTCTGTAACTCTCTTGTCTTTGAGTTTAAACTATTAGTGTTATACATTTTCTGAAAGCTCTTTTCAAGGGCTACACAATGGTAATATTAATATTTAGAAATACGGTAAAGACAATGGAGTTACAGACGCGCGAAAGTGGCGATCGTTTTTCAAATATGATATTTCATTGTCCAGTAGTGTACATAGGAAGTCATCTGAGAATTTTAAAGTCTTTCTGTAATGGAAGAGAGCCAAATATCTTTATTTACACGATAAATACAAATCTTTACATAGTAAAGATGAGAAGAATTATAAAAATAACAGCATCACATTACGAGCTTTCCGTGGTTGAATGCTTTCGATTGAATTTACGCGTGAATGGATGCTGGGTGGTGTCTGGAAAGAAAAGTTTCTCAAAAGTTTAAAGTCAATGGGAAAATGTGGTTTACTTGGTGTACTTTGTGCATAAAAGCGTAAGCACACATGTACTTCTGAATACTTTCTGTGAAAATGGTAAATTCAGTGCGTCAGAAAGGGTGGGCTTACAATAAGCGAGTGTAACTGAAAGCCAGTCGCATTGAAAGGGAAAAGCTCCGTACGTTTAATGCTCAAAGTACTCAAAAATTGACAGTTTCTTACTTGTCTGAGTACTTTGAAAGTTTTCTTTTTAAATGGGCTGGCTTTGAATGGGCTGGGTGCTGTGAAAACGAATCCTTTCTAGCGTTTTCATTTTTCTTGTGCAGCCCAGGTGTTACGAAAGAAATGGAGGACTTGAATGAGCCAGAGTTCAACAGAAAATACGCCAAATAAACCACAGTAACCCTGGCAAAATCCTCACCTTTCGTGTGATCGAAATCTTTCACGATATTCTCCGGTGTTGAGCGCTCTTTGTCGAATGCAAGAGGAGCTGAAATTTTAGTTCTAATGGTAAAAAGATAGCATAGTAAACTGCATCGTAAACTCCAAAGTAAACTGCATAGTCAACTGCATAGTAAATAGCATAGTAGACTGCACAGTAAACTGCATAGTAAACTACATAGTAAACTGCAAAAACCAACTCGATTTATCCTGATCTTTGAGGAAAACTCCTGAAGTCGTCTTCTCACCTTGCAATTGTGCTGCAAATTTTTGTTTCAAAAAAATTTCAGAAGTTTCAGTATCTACTTTTTGTGTTCTGTGTTCCTATAGTACCGTATTTTCTCTAATAGTAGTGCACCCTGAGCGTCGCCTAAATTCCTTAAAATCTCGAGAACCGCTTATCAGAACCTATCGATGTGGGGTCGGAAAATGTTGCTGACGATGAGATCTAGTGATTAGAGTGTTGAGCTTCTGTGAAAACTTAGAAACCGTAAAATCGTCATCAACTCGGCTCACCCGGAAATATTAGGGAAATAGATCAGTCTGACCTACTAGCCTAACCTGAAATAATATACCGTCTTCTCCCTAATAGTAGTGTACCCAAAGCTTCGCCTAAATTCCTCGAAATCTCGAGAACCGCTTATCAGAACCTATCGATGTGGGATCGGAAAATGTAGCGGACGATGAAATCTTGTGGGGGATTTGAGTGTTGAACTTTTGTGAAAAATTTGGAAGCCGTAAAATAGTCACCAACTTGGCTCGGCGGGGTGCACTACTATTAGAGAGAATAAGGTATATATAAAGGGAGTAAGACGTCTGTCTGTCCTCAGCTCCCAGAGGACCGTTTGCACTGCTTTTTTTCGCCGTTGAATAGAGAATTACATGTAGTTGGGCAGCGTGCTTTTGGATTTTTAAAAAGCACAATTCTCGCTAACATAGATAGTCCGAAACGCCAGCCAAGCCAAAAATGACTTTGTCGTCAATGTGTTAAAATAAAGTCCGAGTCGATTACCGAATTCTCTCTAATAGTAGTGCACCCTAAGCTTCGTCTAAATTCCTTAAAATCTCGAGAACCGCTTATCAGAACCTATCGATTTGGGGTCGGAAAATGTAGCTGACGATGAGATCCAGTGGGGGATTTGAGTGTTGAGCTTCTGCAAAAGCTTGGAAGCCGTCAAATCGTCACCAACTCGGCTGGGTGCGCTACTATTAGAGAAAATACGGTAATTCCTAAATTTTAATCCAAAAGCTATTAAACTTCTAGTAAATTAAAAATCAAAATTAAGTGAAACGTCCATTTTCTAAACGAGTTTCAAATCTCGACTCAAAAGCCGTTTCCTTTGAAACTCACTTGTTCTATCGCTGCCCTCTTCTACATGGAAAGCTTTCTGTGTTGAGTGATCATCGTGGAACTCGTCGAGAATTTGTTGAGCTGAGATTTTGATTTATTGGAGCAAAAAATCTCATCAATTTTTGTAGATTAAAGCTTAGATTTCAGTGCTGTATCGTTGCCAAAGTATAAGAATCTCAATAGCTGAATGAGTTCAATATTATACTCATGAATTTGATCGATATGGATAAGAGTTTCCAAATTTTCTGAGAATTTTCTAAACAAAGACTAAACCAACAGCTTTTTTTATTAAATCGTAAGAGGAAATTGAATTATTCATCGAATTCAACTTTTTGAGTCAAACACTAAACCAACTTGTTGGTCGATCGTGGTCTTCGAAATGTTGTGTTTCAATTGAGGGCCCGGCTGGGGAAGCTGGAAGATTTTAAAGTTTTGTAATGTTTTGATAGATGGATTACTTAAGTTTTTCGGTGCTCAGTCTCAAATTTAGATATATTTTTATTAATTTTTAAACAACTAACGATCTTTCGTATGATCACTCCCCGAGTCGTCACAGTTGAAAACAAAGCATCGAATCGCGTACGCATCGGAGAACTGAAAAGCAAATTGTTGAGGTAATTGGGCTAATATTCTCGAAATTAGCTCATGTTTTTTGAAACTTTGACTTTGAATAAAGAAGAAAAAACACCGAATTCGACTACATCTTATTAGAGATCGATCGTATCGATTGAGCAGCTTTAAAATCGAAAGGTTGAGCAGCTTTAAAATCGAAAGATTGAGCAGCTTTAAAATCGAAAGATTGAGCAGCTTACTACGCAAAACTACGCATCTTAACGCTTTTCCGCAGTTTTTGCCTTTTAGCCCAGATTTGACGTGTCAGCGAGGTCTGATTTGTCGAAATTCGGAATCTACGCATACGATTCCCTTATATGGAAGTATTTTCGAAGCTCTACGGCCTTGCCTAAGGCCTTTTCCAGCAAAAAAAAAGGTGCGCAAATGTCTAGGTGCGCAAAAAAAGGTCGCATTTGTCCCCCCCCCCCCCCCCCCTTTAAAAACAAAAGAACATTTAAGCAAACAAACAAAGAACAAAAGAATAAAAGCATTTAAAAACAAAACAAAGCACCAACCGTAAAAATGATTGCCAGCAAAAATATCGACCCAATAACGTTCATCTTTCCTATTTTTCCTCAAGCCTCCACTAATTTTTTGTGTTTAAAATTCAGCTTTATATCCGCAAACTTTATCACTCCATCCCTTTTCCCTTATTTTATTCATTTTTGTATTACCGTCTGAAAAATTGGGGTTTCCCCAGTGTTTTTCTGTTTTTCTTTCTTCAAAAATCATGTGTTTACGTGTTTCCCACTTTTTTCGAAAGCGGAAAACCGCAATAAGCAAATAAACACGACTGATTAGCGAGAAATTTATTGAAATTTTCGCTTGGAAAGTACTGTCGATGAAATGAGAAAAGGGAGATTTTGAAAGTACACTATTAGCATTAGTCAATTTTAGATGAGTGAGTCATCTGTTGATTTTGATTTTTCGCTTTCTATTAGGTTGTCCGGAAATAAATGAGCGTTTTCGACTCGAATATTTAAAATCCCATAAATTGATCCAAATAAAACTTGATTAATCGAAATAAGAACCATTACAATTAACACATTTACCAACATTTACCACATTTACCTATTTTGATCTAATACGGTTCCAATACGGTTCCTTTTTACCAACGAGAAGCAAGTTTATTTATGCCGGTAGCATATAAGTCCGGGCTTCTGGAGGCGAAAAAGTCGGCGAAGGCGTTTTTTTTGGCATCGTCTTGAGTTTTGAAGCACTTCTCCCGGAGAAAGTTGTCGAGGTGCTTGAAAAAGTGGTAGTCGGTAGGCGAAAGATTCGGCGAATATGGCGGGTGAGGCAAAGTTTCGTAGCTCAGTTCGTTCAGCTTTTGCAGGGTCGGTTGTGCGACGTGCGGACGAGCGTTGTCGTGGAGAAAAATTGGACCTTTTCTGTTGACCAATGCCGGGCACATTCGCCGCAATTTCTGGTGCATTTCGTCAATTTGTTGGCAGTACTTCTTCGCTGTAATCGTTTCGCCTGATGCACATTTTTCGCTGTCTAATTGTAGACTTTTATTGAATCAATGCCTTATAATGTCAATTATTTACAGTTTTGCTAGTCATTCTCTTGAACGTAGAGCTTCAACGAAAAGAAAGGAGTTTCAAAGATGCTTGAGTCAGCAATATGCCAGCTTTTTGAGACAAATTGATTAAAGATTTGGTTTGGATTGTCTGAAATAATGTTCATATTAACTAAATGATAACTAAATGATAGCTAAATGTCTAAATGATAACTAAATGATAACTAAATGATTACTAAATGATTACTAAATGACTAAATGAATGTTATTATTGACTAAATAATATCAAGTAAGTGTTGCTTTCTTCTTTTTTGTAAGTTCTTTAAATCAAAAGATAAGAGTTTCAAAATAGACGCGGTGTTTGCGGTAATCGCGTCATTACCGCCCGATAAAAAGCTCGATAAAAATTTGGTTAAAATAAAATTATTATTGAATATCATTGAATAAGGCCGCTCCAAGGGGACCTGAACTTTCTCGACCCAAACACTGAACCCGAACCCGAGCACTGAACTTTATAAAATGTCCATTGAAACTGAAACTCAGAGAAGAGATACCTCTTTTTCAGTTCAGTGCTCGGGTTCGGGTTCAGCGTTTGGGTCGAGAAAGTTCAGGTCCCCTTGGAGCGGCCTTTACAGCCCTAGTCCTAGCCCATAATTATAGGTATATTCTCTTTTTTTCATATTTATGGGTTTTCCCTACGTTTGGGGTTTAGGGCTGCTTGTGTATTGTTTGTACCACGTTATTCGTGCGTGAATAAATGTAGTTAACTCCCTCTGGAGTAAAGGGGATCGAGTGCTTTGCGGTGTAATGGTTAGCACAGTTGCCAGGTCGGGTCGGAGGTTGGAGTCCCCCTGGCGCACAAGTTTTGATCTGCCTTAGTTCTAACTATGTTTTTTTATGCTGTTTCAATAGATGAAAAGGTGTTTCAAAGTTTTTCAGTGCAAAGTTTTTCAGTTTCAAAGTGAAGTTCAAAGGTGGTATTCACGTCATCACTTTTCATGCCTAATAAAAAAATTGTCAAAAACACAATCTTCCTGTGAATTGATGTTTAATTTAAACGGATGTAAACAGCTTTTATTTTGTTTGCCTTTAACTTTGCATTCGAAAAGAAGTCTATTTTTTGGCATGAATATTTTGATACAAATACAGTATGCTTTGCGCCGAATACATCAGAAAAACTTGGTACATTCTCCTTTTCTTTTATTTAATCAAAAACCCACCTTGTCCTTTTGTTTTCCCTATTCTCTTATCAATAAACACTTTCTAAATGCCTTTTTTTGTGTTTATAAAGTGTTTTTTCTTTGTTTGTTTGATTTCTTTGTTCATTTGATGACTCATCACACAGGATTTGTCTAATTTCAGTCACGAAATAAAAATTGGAATCATTTTACCAATGCACTGGCAGTCAATCAATAATTTTATTTAAGAAATTTCTTTTTCAAATGCTCGGCAAATTTTTTAGATGCTCGATCGGCAAAGAACTGTCGCTAATCATTTGGATTACGTTCTCGCGCGTGAATTGAAGTCCGGCCAAGCGCCGGGGAGAACGACTGGCTCTCGTTTTGGAAAAGCCAAAAATTTGTTGCTTTGAGATCTTCTTGACTAATTGTAAGTATACTTTAGAAAAGTTATTCCAGTCAACTTTAGAAAAAACTACTTGACTTCTTTTTGAAATTTAAACCAGTGAGTGAGCTTGCCTATCATTGAGCGAGTTTGCCTATCAGTGAGTGAGCTTGCCTATCAGTGAGTGAGCTTGCCTATCAGTGAGTGAGCTTGCCTATCACTGAGTGAGCTTGCCTATCAGTGAGTGAGCTTGCCTATCATGGAGTGAGCTTGCCTATCACTGAGTGAGCTTGCCTATCATGAAGTGAGCTTGCCTATCATGGAGTGAGCTTGCCTATCAGTGAGTGAGCTTGCCTATCACTGAGTGAGCTTGCCTATCAGTGAGTGAGCTTGCCTATCATTGAGTGAGCTTGCCTTGAAGCGTACTCTTTAAGAAACTTGGTTCTTCTTGAAAATCCAGATCTTTTGAAAAGGTATTCATTGTGAAAAGCTATCATATGCAAAGCCCAAAGCCAATTTGATTCTTTTTCACATCTACATTCTCTAACTCCGGAATCAAAAAACTTTTTGTCAGGTCAGTCCATGAGGGTCCAGAATTTGTGCTAAAATAGAGCTAAATCTGGGAAAAATTTATCCCAAAAATTTGGGCATAATGACGCTCAGGGTTCCAGATCAGTCAGCCCAGTCGCTTACCGCGCCCTTCACAGGCTCAAAAGCCTCTTATACCTGACGAGTTTGCCAGGTCGCGAGCGATTACGGACCGCACAAAAAACACCCCGCTAGTCACTTTACACAGTGGTTTTTTTTGTTCCGTAAATGATTCCCGAATGAGATTTAGTGCTCCGGGGTTTTCATGGTCGTAGAACCTATTTATGAGCTTTATTTTAACCCTGAAGAGAATGGAATTGGCAAAGGTTTTGCATATGATAGCTTTCTCACAATGAAAAGAGCCGTATTTTGTCAAAAGACCCGGTTTTCCGAGAAAAACTGAAAAGTTGAGTTTGAAATTACTGCAGAATAAAAGTCATTGATGTAAACGAATTTGATCAACGCATTTGATGCAAAGAAACAGTTCTTCGAATTTCTCGCACCTACTTTCTCTGAAACTATTTCTTTTCTAAAACCGACGATTCTTTGAATTTATATTTACAATGAAAACAGGTGAAAAACTGGTGTTTGAGATTTGAGAAAGCATAGGTGAAATTTTTGGTTGTTTTTGGAAACAAATTGTTTTTCGCGTAAATTCACTGTAGCTGTGTTTTCACAGGAACGAAAAAACTATGATGTTTTACCTTTTAAATGTTGGCGGTCACGAGCTGAAGATTCGAATTTGGATACTCGTCGATTTTGATGTCCTTGAGGTTTGAAAAGTTTGAAAAGTTTCGAAAGCTTGTAAGAAAATTGTTTATGAAAGTGTACAGCTATTAGTGGTGCAGCTGAAGAGCAAACTTTTAGGAAATGCTATTGGGTTGGTGAATTGAAAACTGCGGGCTATTGTCATATGTGACAGTTTGAGCACTTTCTTCAAAAGAAACCCATTTTGGTGTCAATGGAAAAGTTGTAGAGAATCAAAAATCAAGCTTATATCCAAATTTCCAAAAAGATACGCTTAGTGGTTCCGCTTAAAATTTGTGTGTTCTGTGTGTTCTTTGGGCGGCCGCGTACTCGCTCGTCGTCTGGCGCAGGGCTTTTACATAACCCCCTCCCCTCTCCCTATTGCAAACTAATCTGACCGGCTCCGAATTCTCGAATTGGACATTGACATCTCCACAAATCAAGGCTAATCTCAATCTATTGGGTTGGTGAATTGAAAACTGCCGGCTATTGTCATATGTGACAGTTTGAGCACTTTCTTCAAAAGAAACCCATTTTGGTGTCAATAGAAAAGTTGTAAAGAATCAAAAATCAAGCTTGTATCCAAATTTTCAGAACGATTAAAAAACTGGTTTTCAAGAAATGCAAAATTTACGAATTTTCACAAAACTTGCATTTTAAGCGAAACTACTAAGTGTATCTTTTTGGAAATTTCGCTATTAGCCTAATTTTTGATTCTCTACAACTTTTCTATTGACAACAAAATGGGTTTCTTTTGAAGAAAGTGCTCAAACTGGGACATTCCTTCATTTTTAAGTCTCCAGTCCTCCATTTTTGAGTCTCACACTTGTCTCACACACAAACCAAAATCCTACTACGAAAGAGGAATCCGCAAATTGCCTGTAAAATGGGCAGAAGTCGTCAATAATAATGGAAATTATTTCGAATGAATTTATGGTTTTATGTTGAATAAATTTAAATCAGCAACGAGAACGCCAGTAAATTTCATCTTTCTAGGCATCTCCGGTTGCCCACACGGCAATCCTTTATTCAACTCTCGGGCAAACTTTCATCCAAATACTCTCCGTATTTCTCTACATTCCATACATTTTTGTGGTGGCTAAATCAGAAAAGTTTCACGTAAATCTCACGAGAATTATC